AATGTATGTCCTAAGCATAGTTTAGAAGAATACCCTCGTCCGCTTGCATCAACATCAGACAGCGGAAAGTAAACGTATCACTTCCCATCATTAATCTTTCTTGGTCTTGATCAAATAGTAATCACCTCCTCTCCAAGCCTTATACACTCCGTACAACCCACAAACCGGCCACGTCTCCCACGCCATCCTCTTCATCCAACGGACCCATCCCTCGGTCGCCCCATCCCCCTTGGGACTCAGATTAACCCGCACCTTCTGATACAGATCCGGCAAATGCGTGGCATGGTACTTCTCCCGCAACGCGTCATACCGTTTTCGATCATAGATCGACCAAAACTCCTCCTCTGTGTAGTACGCATGGGCATACAGCCACTTCTTCCCACCCAACTCCCTGACCTTGTGCTCCAGCCGCCGATTCTGCGCAATGAACGCCCCCGTATCGGACGCGTAGGGGGATGGCGCCCACAACCCGAAGTTCATCAGACAGTCCCCGTCGTCATCGGAGTCCTCTTGCTTCTGAGATTGATACGGTCCTGCCTCGGCGCCGCGAGCCATGATCCCCTGCGAATGATGCAGCGGACATAACCAGATCGGATACGCGCCGAAGGTCTCCTTGTTATCGAGCCAGCTGAGGAACTCCCCCGTCGCTTTGTACGGCACCGCCACATCTTGGATGATGTGTTGTTTTGAGAGCCCGCTCTCGTGTAAGGCGTGATACATGATCCGAGTGTGCATAAAGGTATCCAGGATGTACCGTGTGATGCGATTAAACGGCGTGATGAAGTAGCTGAAAGCGTAGCGACCCGTCCAGAATGCACCGCGGTCGTACCGGAAGAGGTAATCCTGGATTGGGACGTAGTGGGTGACCGAGGCGGGGGGTTCGGCGTTGGAGCGGTGGATTTTTCGGGTTTGGCGCTGCGCGTGGATATAGAACCAAGGGTCTTGGGCGCGTGTGAAGCGTTGGATGGGGGTTCGATCTGAGGGCAAGTCGACTAGGCGACCGGCGCAGACGGCGATGTGGTCTGGGGCGTAGATGATGCCATCCAGATACTCGGTTTCGGGGGATGCGGTGGTCTCCCGGAAGACGGTCATTGCTTGGGACATGCTGGAGGCAGAGTGGTAGGTTAATTCGACGTAGGGTTTTGCTTCGCGACATTGGATTTCGAGCATGGTTACGACACCGAGGGTTCCGAAGGATGATGCCGCCGCCCAGAAGAGCTCTTGCTCATCGGGTATCTTTTGCGAGGCTGTGCGGATATCGCCGTTTGCTAGGACCAGCTCGATCCGGTTCACGGTCGCATCGAAGAATCCGTGTCGAAAGGAGCTGCTCTCGCCGGACGTTCCGGAGAAGCCGCCGCCTGCGGTGATGCCGGGGAATTCCATGACGACCAGCGGGATGAGCCCGTGCGGTAGGGTAGCCTGAACGAGTTCGTCCATGGGGACGTTCGGCTCGACCAGGATGGTCTTGCGGTCTGTGTCCACAGCGAGGACATGGTTCAAATGGGCGGTGTTGATGGTGTTGGCTGCGCTGTGTTGCGATTGTCGCGTGCTGTTTGTGGAGCCATGGTAGATGCGGAAGGGTTGTTGATGTTTGTGGAATTGGTGGACTTGGGCCGCGATGGTGGCGACAGCTATATTGTGAGCTTCCATGGTGCCGTCATTGAGGATCACAAGGTTGTCCAGGAAAGAGATGGATTCTCGGTTGAAGTACCTTTGAAATGCGGGTGCCTGTTAATTTAATGTGTTGATCGGGACTTTTTCCCCACTCGGAAAGGTCAGAGCACGGGTAATGACCTCATCCTTCAGATTAGATTAGATTAGATACCAATGGGCAAGGAAACCCCGTTGACACGATATGTACATTGCCTCTTAATCGAGAAACTCCAGTGTTATCACCAGACTCAGCCGGACTTACGCGACGCCCGAGAGCGCCTCCATGATACAAACATGAACAGGATCGAGACCACAAGACCCAACCCCGCAAAGCCAATACCCAGGTAGAGAGCTCCTCGGTAGCCCCGGAGGGCATTTTGTCCACCCTCGTTCACGTTCGACTCCACGGTCCCGGCGAATCCCAGGCCCAGAGAGATGGAGTAGTTTACCGTGGTGGTAACAAGGGATGCGGCAAGGCCTTGATGGTGGTGAGGCATCGAATTGCTGAGGATGAGAGTGCCGGATGGGAAGGACATATCCCTGTCGCAACAGGTTAAGAAGGAAAATATTTGGGTAGGAAAGGTAGGTAACTTACATGCCCCATGACGTGATAAGACTAGCTACGAATGCCTGAGCCCAGTAGGTCTGGTCCACGGGTACCGTTGCAAAGATGGACAGACCGGCCGTAAAGAAGACCATCGCGCAAAACATGATGACACTGGGGGGCAACCGTCCGAGCAAGAATCCCGTCAGCAGGGCCGCTATGGCACCAGACGGAGCCGCAGCGACCCATTTGGTCGTGGCTAACAACGGAGAGTTACCCTTGATCTCCTCCATAAATTGGTAAAAGTAGTAGATAATGATGCCAAAGCTGGACCACCCGGCAGCGATACATCCCAGCACCCATGCCAGGTCACCAGTTAGAACTGAAGTTGGCAGTAGTGGGCATTGAGCAACACGTTCGATCCACAAGAAGCCGCCAAAGGTGATAACGCCAACGATGAGCAGCACGTAGGTGTATGGCTTGGTCCACCCGACCAACGCGGCCTGATTCCATGCAAAATTGATCAGCACGAGTGCGATGATACCGGCTGCTGCTCCTAGCAGATCCAGTCGCACCCAAAGCGGAAGGTCCTTCTGGAAACGAGGTCGCGGCGTGTGCGGAATGACCAAAACACCCAGCACAGCAAAGGCAAAGCACACCATACCCTGGACCCAGTACGCCCACGGCCACCACACCATCTGTGCCAAGACCGAGGAGAACACGCCACCGACGATAAACCCGCTCGGCGCGGTGGCTCCAAAGAAGCTGAAGATCATCTCTTTGCGCAAGCCCGGTGGATATGCGCGCCCGAGGATGGCAATTGCATTCGGGAGTAACATGGCAGGCCCCATTCCTTGGAAGGCGCGACAACAGTCAAAGAAGATCTGATTCGACCAGACACTGAAACCCGCCAACAAAGACCACAAACCGAACCATGCGAAACCGATGATGAACATCAGTCGATGACCGAATACGTCGCCAAGCCGACCACAGACTAAGATAAAAGTGCCCACCGTCAAACTGTATGCCGCCGCAAACCAACTTAGTTCGCCGGGAATGGACGTCTGGAAGCCCTTGCCGATGATATACACTGGGGCGATCGAGATGCACAGACCCGCTTGCGTCATGAATTGAGCCATGCAGACCACCACTACGAAGAGGATCTCCCGCCACAGCTCCTTCGGCGGTACCACGGCGGACAGAGTGGTCTCAGTGCGTGTCAGTGCTTCGGGATCATCACTCGGGTTGTTTGGCAGTTTCCCATCCAGCTCGTCGCGGCTGATGTCGGATCTCGATGCGGATGGAGAGAGCGTCGCATCGTGCTTATCCGACTCCATCATCTTGATTCCAGCGGTTTCCGTAACGTGTCGGTATATCAGTCTCTCGATGGAACTTCAGAGAGAAACAGTCCAACGAGTCGGGGATGACATCTTTTATATTTGCCATGATCGGGACAATCCATCAAGAGCAATCCCTTTACGCATTGTCGATAGGTTCCCACACCAACTTTGCTTGATCCTGATTAGTGAGTGTGCTCAATCAATTGATCATTGCGCGCTTGTCATTTGGTGCGTACCAGGGATCCACTCGATTCCCGTCGGATTCGATGTCCGCATCCCGACGGGACATGGCTCGGAATTAATGCCAAACTGATTGATAAGACACGATAGTTGCGCAGACTTGATTAGAAGACTTAATGCGAAAGGTTCTTGGTAACGGAAGGGAAAAGAAGGGTGTTGCCAAGTGGTTGTGTTCTGGTAAACAGGAATTCTGCCTCCAACAGCCGTGGTGTGCGCACATATATATCTTCATCTTTGGTACCTAGTTGAAGTCAAACTAGTCTCTTGTGATTGTAGAGCCCTCATCGGACTGACTATTGCCAAGATTAGTTAATCAGGAAGATATCGCTCGATACAGAATACTATAACGAAGTATAGTTACTTTGACCTGAGCTGAGTTAAATCCAAGCTCTCTCGTTGTTGCGCGATGCATACCGACACGTGATCTACGCCTAAGGCAGCCGTCTGGAAAGATAGTTCTATGTACTAGGACAGAGTCCTGCAAGAAAATCCCTCGGATCCCCGGCTCGAGGGATACCTGCAGATGATGATTAAGGTTAGAGGATGCCCTACTAGTAGACACCCACAATGCACCTAAAGGATGCGTCCCGGACTCTTAGAGGCAATCCGATCAGCCGAGGAACAAGTTGTGCACTCCAAGGCTTAGGTAACAACTGCATTGTGGGGACATTACCGTACATAATCATCCAAAGGGGGTTAGCGGCACGACGAGACCCGATGACCTCACCCAGTTACATAATCCAAATCACATGCTGGCTGTCAAAGAAAGAAACAAAAAAAAAAGAGAAAGAAAAAGAGAAGTAAAAAAAACTCATGCAGGTTGACGGGGCGTGACAGGGAGGGCAAACAATCCCCAATATGATATGCTTTGTCTGCAGCATGTCTTTTTCAACTCCTTGCATCCGTTGATCGCTCAGATTTTGTGATTTTCTCCCTTCATAGAAATATACACACACAACTCCTTCGAGGCGCATGGCGTGAACCGGTTATAGACGACTATTGATCCGTTCTCATTCCTCCCCTTTTTACCCCGCCGGAGGTTCGAAACATCCAACGAGTCACAACTCCACTGCTGCCTTGACTTGGCTCTCCAGTCGCTTCGCTCGCCAGGGCAGAGCACATACCTCCATCTTCTTTCCTCACTTCTTCAAAATTCCCTCTCTTCATCGTGTTCTTCAGTCGGGTTTAAAACGCTCTACATTTGATATCCTGCACTTGACACTATGGGGAAAGCCCCCGCCGCGATCGTTATTGCGAGGTACGTCCCAAAGACCTGTAGCATCTTCGTTATGGTCTTTGTTCCCGTTCGCTTTCTTTGAGAATGAAACTTGCTGACCGGTCGGTCTATACAAGACATGGTGCCCGTCTGGATGCTGCCGATAAGAACTGGCATCTGACGTCTCCAACCCCGTACGACCCTCCGCTTTCGTATGGCGGCTGGCTTCAGTCCCGTGCTTTGGGCGCCCGTATTGCCAATGTTTTACAGTCCCTGGATAACGATATCCTCCCCGAGGGAACAGATGTCGAGACGTTGCCGTCGTTTCGCCCACGAACTTCCAAGCGAAAGCGCCGAATCATTATCCATTCCTCCCCATACCTTCGGTGTCTACAGACCTCTATCGCCGTAAGTTCCGGGATCAGCCAGCACTATCCTGATAGCACGGGAACAGGCTCGGGTTGGAATCAGCCCAATGGGTTTCTATCCGCCCCCGTCATGCCGTCGGCAAAGGAGCCGACCACTGGCACGGTGTCCAGCACCCCTGCTGTTCCCGGTGATCAGCGATGTCTTCTGCGTGTCGACGCTTTTCTTGGCGAATGGCTATGCCCAGACTATTTCGAGGAGATCACCCCGCCCCCTAAGTCAGAAAGGCTGATCGCCGCCGCCAAGGCCGAACTATTACGACGGGACAGCATCGTGCCCGAAGCCGATACCAAACCCCCTACGGGCTTTTTCCCAGGTGGCTGGGGTAGTCTTGACAACAAACCTCTGTCTCCCCCTATCGAAGAGGAAGATCGCAAGGCTTATTCCTTGTACACGTCAAATGAGCGTCGGGAAGGGCAGCGAAATCGGGCCGGCAGTTGTGATACCCTGCGGTCCGCAGACACCCCACGCACCCGGAGGTTGCTCAGCAAAATTAACACCAACCTCCCGCCCATCCCCGATGGCGCGTACATGCCCCCGACGCCGAGCTATGCCATCTCGCCGTCCGGCCCGATTCCGACCGGTTATGTCACCCACGCTCGGGATGCTTGTGTGAGGATCGACTATCCGTGGGATAGCATGCGAGACCCACCGAATTGGGGAAATGGTGGTGAGTACGGCGAAGAGTGGAGCACGATGCACACGCGGTTTCATAACGGACTGGAGCGGATGGTTGGCTGGTATCAGGAGCACGATGCATCACTTCCCTTCAATCGGCGTCGGCGTCATTCGCAATTATCCTTGTCTGAGAGCGCGGAGGAGTCGAAGATACCTGACGATGAGGACGAGGCTATCGACACGATCCTGGTGATCGTCACTCATGGGGCAGGCTGTAATGCGCTCATCGGAGCGATCACTGGCGAGCCCGCCCTCGTGGACATCAATACCGCGTCCCTCACTTTAGCAGTCCAGAAGAGCCGTGTGGCTGTCTCAGAGAAAGTGGACGCGATCGGCGGACCCGTCGTGCCGTATCGTTCCGGAAACAAGCCCGTGGGGCTCCGTGATTACAAGCTACAGCTGGTGGCTTCGACCGACCATTTACGACCGGTCACGAACTTGTCGACGTCCGTCCTCCCGTCGCCCAGTAGTCTAACTTCTCCATCATCGACGTACCGCCCACGATTCACGACCCGCCCGCCGTTACAGGGTGGGTTCGTGATCGGTCCCTCTGCTGTGTCCGGACCGGGCACCGGTTCGTGGTCATTCTCGCGACCTTCCACCGTTCCTCGCAGTGCTGGCGGCCTTTGGGGCTCCAACTCCATCTCCGGCGGGGATGCGGCGGACGATATTATTCCCAATTTCGGTGATCCCTGGTCGGGTTCTAATGGGACTAGCGAAAATGACCACCACTCCAGCAAGAAGCCGGAGGAGTCGTCAGATTGGACGCCACAGTTGCCCCAGAGGACGCTGTCCCAACGAGGTCTATGGGGCAGTGGGCCTTCGAAGGAGCCCCATGTCAAGCGGCGCTGGACGGTGACTGAACGGCGCGTTTAATGGGCGCACGTATATTATTAGACCATGCGCAGTATACCTTTCTCATAATCTGTTTCACAACTTTTAGCGGACTCTTTCCCCCTTGGTTTCCCTTTTCTTTTTCTTCTCGGTTATTCGGCGAGGCGTTTCTGGGATCATAGCGAACTTGAGCGTTTGATGATGACATGAAAATACTAGTATACTATGATTTCGGACGAGTGAGATCTTTGACCCATCTGAGCATCTCTACTCTACTGTGGGAATGTACAACAATACTAATACCACTCTATTTGGGTAACCTCGGCTCGCTGTCTTTGATCTGATATCTGACTAGTAGTACCAGGTACTAGTAGGGACTAGTAAGGACTAGGAGGGACGAAATTCCGTCATGATCCCCACGGACGGTGGAGATCCCGTAGATAATCTTCCGTGGTTGATTGGTCCGGACCACAGAGGGCGGATCCACGGTGGCCCGGGTGCCTGCATGCCTGGGGTGTCCACTGCGCTGGTCACCGCTGGGTGTCAAGTGATTCAACCCCTCCTCCTCCTGGTTCCTCTTCTTTTTCTCATCTGTCTTCATCCTGCTTAATTCACTCGGCCACCATCTTTCTTCTTGTCAGTATGTCCGCCGTGGAAAACGACGGGCTTACCATCACCCATTCTTCCGAACGAACCGGAACTCCCGATCTTCGTCTCATTCATTACAATGATGTTTACCACGTGGAGTATGCAGACTCCCCCTTCCTGGACATCTGTCACGACAATCCACTAACCAATATCCGGAGTCAAGAGAAGGGTCGGCAGAGCCAGTCGGTGGTGTTTCTCGATTCCAATCCGTGATCAATTATTACCGTTCGGATCCCCGATTCGCTGGACAACCAGACGTCCTCACCTTTTTCTCCGGAGATGCCTTCAACCCGAGCCTCGAAAGTACAGTCACCAAGGGGCGCCATATGGTGCCTTTTCTGAATAAGGCGGGCACGGATGTCGCATGTGTTGGGGTATGTTTGTTCGCGGACGGGGAGGGTGTCTGATGCAAAGTACGATGAAGGCAATGAGGGTCTGACTTGTACGTGTGATAGAACCATGATCTCGATTTTGGTGTTGCGCAGCTGCGTCATCTTCGTAGCCAGTGCCAATTCCCATGGTTGTTAGCCAATGTTCTTGATCCAGCCTTGGGAGAAGATATCCCAATTGCGAACTGTGAGCGAACCCGGATGTTGACCTCATCGAACGGCTTCAAAGTGGGCGTGATCGGTCTTGGGGAGAGAGAATGGTTAGTTGTCCCGAACTTCTAGATATGCTACACTTCCAATCCTCACGTATTCAAGGCTCGGAACTATCAACTCCCTTCCTCCAGACTTGATATATAAATCGGCTGCTCAAACCGCCCTCGAGCTCGTCCCGCGTCTCCGTGAACAAGGCGCCGACATCATTGTCGCTGTTACCCACCAACGCGAACCGAACGACTACAAATTTGCGGAGAGACTCCCGCCAGGGTTCATTGATATCATTCTGGGAGGTCACGATCACTACTACGCACACGCTGTCGTCAACGGGATCCAAGTTCTGCGCTCAGGCACCGACTTTAAACAGCTTAGCTACATCGAAGCGTGGCGGAAAACGGATGGACCGGGATGGGATTTCAACATTGTCCGGCGCGATATTATTCGATCAATTCCGGAAGACCCAGCGACCGTGGCGCTGGTGGCCAAGCTAACATCCAGCCTGAAATCCAAGCTGGAGAAACCTATTGGCTACACGGTCCGGCCGCTGGACGCCCGATTTTCCACCGTCCGCCAGAGAGAGTCGAACCTAGGGAACTTTGTGTGCGACCTGATGCGATTCTACTATGCCGCTGATTGCTCCATGATGGCTGGTGGTACCATCCGTGGTGACCAGATTTATCCGCCGGGCATTTTGCGACTGAAAGATATCTTAAACTGTTTTCCTTTTGAAGATCCGATCGTCTTGCTCCGTGTCCGAGGACAAGCTCTGATGGACGCCCTCGAGAATGGTGTGAGCCAATTGCCCGCCCTAGAGGGTCGGTTTCCACAGGTGTCGAACATTGCGTTCAGTTACAACCCATCCGCTCCGCCCGGCTCGCGCGTTAACTGGGCGAAGATCGGAGGGCACCCGATCGAGTACGACCGGACGTATTCCCTTGCCACGCGAGGGTACATGGGCCGTGGAAAGGACGGCTTCGCGTCGCTGCTGGTGCAGTCTGCTGGCGGCGAGGTAGAGGAGGTTGTCGACGAGGAAAGCGGAATCTTAGTTAGCACCCTCCTTCGGCAGTACTTCCTGAGCTTGAAGGTGATGGGTAGGTGGCAGCGCTGGAGTCAGAGCTTGTCACGCCATTGGAGCACTGTGCACCAGAATCTCCACTGTAATGGCTGGCTGAAGCCTGCATCTGGCCAAACTTCCCCGGTAACCGAGAAGGCTCCGGTACGGCCCCAGAGACCGACCCTCCAACGGACCAAACAATACTATCACTATGGTCGCTTCCCGGAGATTGACACGGAAGAAAGCCCGAAGACAGAGGCTAAAGGTAATGAGGACATGGATTCTGATTCCGACTCAGATCCAGAAATCTTGACTTCTCCACAACCCACCACAAACTATGTGACTCTGCCCGCACAATCCGCCGCAGAGGAAGAGCGCCGACTTCGACTAGCCCGACGCGTCGTACGTAAATGGATGCAGAAGGCTGGGTTCCAGCCGACCACGTGCAACGGCACGGACGATGTTGGTTTTACCCCGACTTGGACTCCAGGTATCTCCCCACGTCTGGAGGGACGCATTGTGATAGACGACACACGCTAGATTCATGATAGACCACGAGATTTAGAAAGATTTCCGGTATGACTTACGATAGAGCATGTTTCGGATACAATTTCTCACGGAGTGTTTTGTCGGGCAATGGAAATTATCATTTTGGTTTGCTTTTCTTCTATCAGTTTAGACTCATTTACCTTGGTGATGGACCTCGAGATCCTGGAAATGTAATACCATGACTCTGAAAGCATTGGGACCTTCTTCTCTGTTACAGAGAAGAGTAGCAAGGGTAGCATTGGATTCTGTCCGCCGACTGTCGATAGTGCAAATCCGAGTGAGATACTTCGCGACTTTACAATGGTAGTTCCATGAGCACAGGTCATAAAAAAGTGTATTATCAGTCATAAAAAATCCCGTACAATCATCGCGAACTCAGATTTACAACACCATTAAGTAATACAAGCAGAGAACTTCCGTTTATGCAGCACCCCAACCGCCGCCACCAGCAGTCATGATCACGACACGGTTATGTGTCTTCATCGAAACAGTGTTCTTACCGCCAATATTCACGACGCGTTCCTCACCCGTCTCCTCATCCTTGGAGATCCACAGGTTCAGACCGGACTGCGCATCCTCTCCTCCTTCCAGACCGTAGGGACGATGGACTCGCCGTTCCGATAGAATCGAGCATTCCATAGGCGCCAGGAACTCGATGTCTCGGATGACACCGTCACCACCGGGGTGGAGTCCCTTTCCGCCCGAGCCGGGTCGGAGGGTGAACTGACGCAGCAGGGTCGGGTACCGCTTCTCGAGAATCTCCGGGTCGGTGATCCGTGTGTTGGTCATGTGGACGTGGATGCCAGACTCGCCCTTCCAGGTTGGCCCCGCGCCGCTGCCTCCAGCGATGGTCTCATAATAGCCGAAGCCGGGGATGGTTGCGCCGGTGTCCGGGTCGACCTTGGAGTTGGTGCCGAAGGTCAGGTTGTTGCAGCATCCCTGGGAGGCGGCACAGGCGCGGAAGGCCTTCAGGACGACGTCGGTAATCCTCTGCGATGTCACAACGTTGCCGCCCACGACGGCTGCCGTCTTGGTCGGTGAAAGGATGCTGGGTGACGGGACTTGGATGTCAATAGGCGCCAGACAGCCCTGGTTGAGAGGGACGTCTGAGGCGATCATGGCTCTTAAGCAGTAGATGATGGCCGAGTGGGTAATAGCGATAGGGGCGTTCCAGCCTCCGTAAACTTCGGGCCCGGTGCCGGAGAAGTCGAAGACAGCGGATCCGTCCGACTCGTTGATTGTGACCTTCAGTCTAATCGGAGTGCCGTCGTCCATGTAATCGACAGCTTCCAGGGGCTCGCCGTTGAAGCGCTTGTGGAGATCCTTCAGGAGGTTGCGCACGGCCGTCTCGGCCGTGGCTTGGATCGCGTACATGTACTTCTGCACAGTTTCAACTCCGTACTCGGCGAACAAGGACTGAATAAGGGCGATACCACGTGTGTTAGCGGCGATCTGAGCCTTCAAGTCCGAGAGGTTGTCGCTGAGGCACCGTGAGCCGGAGCATCCCGGGTGTTGTGCTGGCTTGTTGACCAGGAGGTCGATTATACGCTCCTCTTCAAATACGCCGTTGCTCACAATTTTCTCTCCTTCAATTGCTGCACCCTCCTGCCAGAGCTCGGTTGATTTCGGTGGCATTGACCCTGGCAGGATACCACCGATATCTGCGTGGTGGCCACGAGACGCGACGTAGAACATAATTTCGCTGCCACCGGGCCTGTCAAACACAGGTGTGATCACCTATACGGTTTTGTTAGGGTTGCTAATAACTTTGAGTGCATTGGGATTGACTTACCGTAATGTCAGGAAGGTGAGTTCCACCGCAACTGGGATGGTTGGCAACTAAGACGTCACCGTCCCTCAGGTTGCCCAACCATTTCTCGTGTTGATAGCGAACGGCGAATTGCATCGATCCGAGATGAACAGGCACGTGGGGGGCATTGGCCACGAGGCCGCCATCTGGAGAGAACAAGGCGCAGGAGAAGTCTAGGCGCTCTTTGATGTTGGTCGAGACGGATGTCTTCTGCAGGGTCCGACCCATTTGTTCAGCGATGGACATGAAACGATGACCGAAGATACTCAATCTAATAGGGTCGATCTCGGATGGGAGCTCGGAGGGAACACCATTGGCGGCAGTCTGTTCCTCCTTCAAATCAATGACGATGCAAGTATCCAGGACTTTGGCTACGGAGTTAGGAGCCACCACGATTGTCTGGGTCTTGTCAATGATAACGGCAGGGCCATGGACGCGAGCGTTTTTCTGAAGCTTATCCAGGAGATACACCGGCGTGTTAATCCGGCTGGAGTAGCCATCAAAGTAGGCACTCGTCGTACTGTCCGGAGTTCCGGTCACATCTTGTAAGGTGGCCTCCCGTAACTGGACCAGAGGGCTCTTCTCCGTGCGCACCTTTGATGAAGCGATCGTTCGCACACGAATGTCGTCCACCAGGACGGCTCGATCGGAATTGAAGTTGAATTCTCTGCGATGCCGGGTCTTGAACTGCTCCAGAAAGCCTGAGTCATCTTCCGGTTTCAAGATCATTAAACTGGTATCGGAACCTTCATAGCGCATATTGAGGTACAGCTCGTGCCGCACTTGATCAGCTGGGAACCCTTGAGTGTTCATTTCTGCCGTAGCATTGTCTGTCATGTCATTGAAGCGCTTCTCAAGGCTTGACTGGGAGGTCTCAAAGTCAGCGGAGACCGGCTCCTGAGACTCCTTGACTACCTCGGCCAGCGCCAACCCGTACGCGGACAGGACAGAAGAGTACTTATGGATGATAATGCGTGAGATACCCAGTGACGCCGCAACCGAGCATGCATGTTGACCACCGGCGCCTCCGAAACAAGCGAGGTGATGCGAAGCAGTTTCAAAACCACGAGCTTGGGTCAGGTTGCGGATAGGGCGAGCCATCGACTCATCGGCCACCTTCAAGAATCCTAGAGCAACTTCTTCTGGAGCGTACTCCGGCTGCCCCTTCTCTTTTCGCTCCGCATTGATCTTCTGAGTCAACTCGTGGAAAAGTTTGGTCGTCACTTCGATATCAAGAGGCTGGTCCTCGTTGGGGCCGAAGATGTGCGGGAAGTACTCAGGTAGCAAGCGGCCCAGGAACAGATTAGCATCGGTGACTGTCAATGGCCCTCCTTTGCGGTAACAAGCAGGACCGGGGTGGGCGGAGGCCGATTCAGGACCGACATAGAACAGTCCGTTGCGATACGACAAAATCGAGCCGCCACCTGCAGCGACGGTATTGATATCGAGCTGTGGGGATTGAATAAGCACACCAGCAACTTTGGATCCGAACACATGCTCGAGGTGGCCGTCGAAACGAGACACGTCCGTCGAGGTACCGCCCATGTCAAATCCGATCACAGGTGTCTTCTCGATAGGATCCCAGCTGGTGGCTGCAAACCCGACCACACCGGCTGCCGGACCGGATAAAATCGCCTTCAGCCCGCTGAATCGGCGAAAATCGACAAGTCCACCGTCGGATTGCATGAACTCGAAGCGGCACTCGTGCTGGCGCTCCAAGCCACCTTCAAAGCTGGACGAAATCGAGTCGATATATGTCTTGATGACGGGGGTGAGATAGGCATCGGCCGCGGCAGACATGCCTCGTGGGACGATTTTGATCATCGGCTGTAACTTGGAGGACAACGTCACGGAGAAGCCCATACTCTCGGCCAGCTCGCCAATCTGACGTTCGTGCTCTGGGTATGCGAATGAATGGACTAGCGCGACTGACAGGGATTGGTAACCCTGGTCCTTGTACCGCTGGAGCTCCGAGCGAACCTCCTCAAGGTTTAACTCCTGCACCACACGGAACTTTTCCCCCGTCACACCCTCCACGATACGAGCCCCGGCGAAGCAATCCTTATCCGCCGATGGATGGCATGGGACGATACGCTCATTGACCTCAACCACGCCTTCTGGCAGCACTCCTGGGCGGGCCATCGACAGATCAAAAATGTTTGGCCGTGACTGGTCACCAATCTTGAGCAGATCGCGGAAGCCCTTGGTGGTGAGCAGGACTGACCGAGCCCCTTTCCTCTCCAGTAGCGCATTTGTAGCCACCGTTGTTCCCATGCGCAAAGAGCCAATCCGATCCAGCTTCAGCGGTTGTCCTCTGGGGTGGGGCTCGCCCGTGACGAGTTCGAGAATTTGGCGCACACCCTCGGTGGGAGCATCTTGATAGTGGGCGGGGTCAACGGAGAGTAACTTGAGGATGATGTCAGGTTTCCCGGGTACGATGGCATGTACATCTGTGAACGTGCCTCCCCGGTCGATTGAGATGGTTATTTTCCCGTCTCCGGCCATGTTGCTCGTGTGCTGGTAGATTGACCGGATCGAGAGATGAGGATATAAGGAGGAGGAGAGACGTAGTACTACTGACAAGGTGGGTATTCCCCGGGTTTAATATACCTTCATCCGCCGTCCTGCTGCGGGACAGAGATAACGACAGCGGGACAGGCCATGGAACCCTCCATCATTTTAGTCGCTCTGGTCTCCGACTGGTTGTTGCGAGCCCACATCCACCGTCTTGCTTCGCATTCCTGCCGATTGCGTCCTTCCCCGCGGTCACGTGTCGGGCCGATGATCAACGGCGGCGGGATTTCCGGCCCGAACTCTCCGACGCACGCATCATTGTAGTGTCATCTTTTGCCCTTGTTGCGTACATCCACCCATACCTCCCTCCGTTCTATGCTATGCTCCCTAGAGATGGTTAACTCTTAGATGGTGTCCTATCCGGTCATGCCATAAGAGAAATTATGCATCGGGGAATCTGAATCTCTCATTTCTATCTATCTCTATCGAGTATGAATGTTCGATCAAACAAAGGGGTATCTACAGTATTCTATGTTACTATATAGTGATTTCATAACTCAGTGGTTTCGCGGGCTACAGTAGGCCATCAATGGTGGCAAGCCCTGGTCAGACATATCGCTGAGAATCGGTCCTTCGCCAGGACGTATGAGCTCCAGCTATCATATGAGTCAGTCAAATGTACTATTCGTAACGGAGGGAAAAAAACTCACGTTGAACTTTAAAAGCAGTAAGACAACAATCTTTTTCAGCTCCATCCAGGCGACTCGAACCTTTGGAGAATTATTGATGCTGGTGCTGAACGGTATTAAGTTTTGGATCATGGCCCACCGTTGTCGCGGGTCAACATTGAGCCAACGTGCCGGTCGATAATTATGGACGTCCTCCCCATAAGTACTAGGATCGCCTCGTAAGGCTTCGGAATGAAGTTCCATCATGGTTCCCGGAGGAATGTAGTACCCTGCAACGATAGCGCCCTCGGGGGGTGTTACGACCTCACGGTTGTAGCTTAAGCTAGGCAGCTGGCGCATTGATTCCTTGATAACAGCGTCAAGGTAACGGAGTTTACCCAGTTCTTGCCACCGAGGAGGGTCGGAGAGTAGGCCCTTGTTGAACGCCGTGTCTATTTCAGATCGGAGCCTCGCCATGACGGTTTCGTGTTTTAACAAGGAGGAAAACGTTGAGATAAAAGCCATAGCAATACAGTCATATGCGCCGTCGCAACCTCGGGGAAGGTCGAGGCTGGAGCTAATTGCACGGTCATCCGTAGCCCTAAACGATCGACTACTGTTGATCCCTCCCTGAGTTTTTTGGACAAATGAAATGCCACGGCGCCTTTTTAACCTAGCGGCCGGGCTTCTTAGGAGCGCATATTCGATCGTTGGAAATGTGAACCACTTTGTTGGACGGTTATACCAGTGGCAACATGCCCGCTGAGCGTTGGAAGGCATATCTTGGGTGACCGATTCCTCCAGGACCAGACGATGAATGAAGTCAGCGGTAAAACCCTGAAGGAAGGTCGTTAAGTGCACCACGGGTTGTTGCCTGAGAGATGTCATCAAATTGTTGGCTGCCTGATCAACTATGCCTTCATATCGCATTGCCGATTCCAGACACCTCCGACGAGTGGCCTTGCTCAGCAGAGTACTTTCAACATCGGTCGTCCTCGCGGACGAGCCTTGGGCGAATGTGGTACGATTGTCATGCTCAAATGTTGACTACGAAATCGATCAGTACCCAGATACCACGGTGACGCGTCATGGACGTTACCCTTTCACTCGGCCGACCATTATACACCGGAAAGATGGCCGTAGGGTCGGAAACGCTGATGGAATGAGGCCCTAAACGGACGACCTTGCCGTATTTCTTATGAAGGCCAGCTACACTACAACCATAGTTGCCTGTATTGCGAGCGTATGTCCTCCACAAGTCACATAAGCCGGTGAACAGCGGACCAGGAACAGTGCTTAAGCGGGTGTAGTTGCAAAGAGCGCGCACAAAGGCGAATAATCCCAAGATTAAGATTGCAATTACACACACAACCATTGCCGATGCCCAACTAAAACACTGCGCATCTTTCTAAAAAGCCTGTAGAAACAGCCGAGTTTTGTTGTAGTTCAGATTTGCGAGTAGCACGCCCAACCGTTGCCAAAATTGTCCCCTATTTTTTTGGGCCGCGATATTCCCAAGGGGACCCGAAGGAAGAAAAATAGCCGGAAATTGGCAGTTGGCCTTGTGGTTCACTCCGACGGTCCCCAATTACCCACCGACATGTTATTTTTGTCCGTGGAATCAACTTTGTTGACTTTCTAGCTCTTGACTAATCGCTCCCACCTCTCTAGTTGTCCAAGTAATGGATTGCAGGAAACGTGGTGCCCCATCGGGCCGATGTGCTGCATTGACGGGACCATCCAACGCTTAAATGTGGGGAAAGGAAGAGAGGGGAAAAAGAGTTGAGAACTGATAGCAATCCAGATAACAGCGATAATTAGTCAAGCGTCAGGGGCTTGACTCTTTGGGTCCCACAACCGGTTCGTATCCGCTCACTTTTGCCAGGGATCATGGCACGCGACCGTACACACCACATCGTCTGCAGTTCCCGTCCCTGCTAGTGGGAATGAATCTCTTCTACACAAGACGGCAAAAGGTCAATACACTGTCAAAGTCCAATCGGAATCTGTGGGGGGTATAGCTTGCATGTCCGTGCGTTCGTTCATTCATCGTGGACCCACGCCATCAACATCAATTCCGCGGGCAACAAGACCACCGGTTTCTAAGAACAGCGTGTGCGTGGATCGGCACCACGACTAAACCTGAGAGCCAAAATTGACGGGCGCAGTACCTGTAGTCGGTATTGTTTAATTCATCCCTCATTGAGGGTGTGCGACATGTTCATTAGCCTGTCAAATGGCGCAAGGAAAGGACCGCAGTGGGTTACAACATCGTTCGGAAGACCGCTCCAATGCGAGACGGTCCATCGTAGCGTAGGTGACGGGTGGTTACGTTGCTGTAGAGTCACGATAACTAACGGTTGACCACAGGTGTAATCGATGTCGCAACAGAAAAACCCGTTGTGCTGGCAATCCACCGTATCCATGCGCTGCATGCGAGGACGCCGGGCAAGTGTGTGTCTACTCCGAAGCTGAGAAGCGTGTTTCCATTCCCGAAAGGTACTGCACATGACTCGAGGGCACATCAGCTGAGGCAACCTGACTGACTCGATATCAAGTTATTATCGTCAACTCCAATCTCAAGCGCGAGCTCAACTTCAGGCCCAGACCCAGACCAATGCATCCCGTTCACAGGACAGCCGCCAGTCTTCACTGTTCACCACTGCTAGCCCTGTCCAATCCACCCCGTACACCAGTACCGAGGTGCCTCTTGACCGTGATGACTGGTGGTATCAGGGCACCGATCACTTATTCCTGAACCGGTCCGGAGAACACCGTGCGTAGTCCTCAATTATATATACTCTGTCATGATCTTGGCTAACATTTAGTAGAATTTGTCGGTGCATCGTCGGCTACCCATTTAGCGAAACGGTTGAATCCAACCTCAACTAATCTAGCGTGGGATGTCCGTCCGCTATATGATGATCCTTCATCGCTACGTCGGTCGATGACACGGGGCCTTCCTCAACTACCACCTCTTGAATTTGCTAAGCGGTTGTTCTGGGTCCAGTATGCCTACATTGGGACGATATTCTCCCTCATTCACCCGCAGGACTTCGAGGAACGACTACAGGTTGTATACAACCAACCGCCCGACTTCTCCAACCGAGAATTATGCCTAGTTTACTGCCAAGCTCTGCTCGTCATAGCGTTTGGTCTCATGTACTCGGTAAACCAATGGTCCGGAGATGATGGCCCGCCGGGCTTCAAGTACTTCAAACATGCCCTGCGCTTTTTACCCGATATCCATGAAGAAGGCTCCATATTCTTTGTGGAGGTCCTATGCTATGTGGCGTATTATATGCAGAACCTCAACCGGCGAGATGCTGCCTTCCTCTATGTACGTCTGGCAAACCATTTAGATGCCATCGAAGCTGCTAACGTGTAAACGTGTCCAGATCGGTCTTGCCCTCCGCATGGCAATATCATTGGGTCTTCATCAGGAGGTTTCAGACCCAGCGATTAGTGAAGAAGACCGAAACCGTCGGCGCCGAGCTTGGTGGTCTGTGTACAGTCTGGACCGACTATTGTCAGTAAAATCGGGGAATCCGATCACCATACAAGACGAAGATATCGGAACTACATGGCCGATTCCAGCTGAAGCTTCCCCCGCGGTTCCATGGCCATCAGTTGTGCTTACATATTATACTCAGCTGTCTAGGATTTTAGGCAGAATTGGGGAAGGTGAAGAATCCCCTTGTCCTGCTAAGGAATTTTCTAACTAACGGTGAGGCTAGAAATTTATCGCAAGAAACCTCGATCCGGCTCAAACTTATTAGCATCCGTCCAAAGTATTACGAACGATTTGTCTGAATGGCTGCGACGGATACCCGACCGGCTGCGCATTGATTTTTCGGCCTTGGATACTCATATTAACCGTGAGCTGGTGTCGATCTTCTTACACTTTTACTCCTGCGTGAACATGACAGCTAGGCCGTTGGTCTTCTATGTGATCCAGCGGCGATTGGATGCCGAAGCACGAGGTTCTGCTACAGAGGACTGGAAGGACGGTCTATCTCAAAACACGGTAGCTGTGATCGACAGCTGCATAACAGCAGCGCGGGCTACTACGGTGATAATGGATGCCGCTGCGAAGCACAATTTGGTCGGTGAGTAGACCCTATTTCGCTTCTTGGGATTTTCAACAGCTGATGGTATGGACTGCCCTAAAAGCCACGTATGGATATCTGGACGGGGAGTATATCTTCTCTGCTGCCCTTCTTCTGGTGATGGTGAATGCTGCATTCCCACATAACGAAACAAATGCCCGAGCGATGGAAACGGCATTGAATCTGCTTCGCGGCATGGCGGACCGTGGAAATACGTACCTCGGCTCGCGTCATTCACTGTTACTTGAACTGCAGTCCGCCATTGGTCCGAATCGTACGAGAAGAGAGGAAGCCATGCTTGAGCTTCCTGTCACTCCAAATAGTACGCAGCGGCCAACACCATCCACGAACGTGGTTGACGAGCATCCTCCGGCACTGTCACCGTGGCCACTGCAACAAGATCTACCAACGATGCGGGACATTAATTTCAACTTTGACATCAACGACGACCCAGGACTGTGGGAAGAAGTTTTACATCAGATTGATATTGATATGGATACTGACTGGATTGAGAACACGCTAAGAAAGTGATGACGTTGGACTCCAGTTTCCAGCCACCAGGGCAATGTAAAGACCAGCTCTGTGGTTATGGACTTTGGACCGAGAGTGGACATGACCTGATGAAGCTTGTGCCCTTCTGTGTCCAGCTTGTAATGATTTCTACAACAGCCTATTTCTTGGATTTCATATCCTTTGACTTACAGCTACCATAGCAAGCGCCTCGATAATCACTGAAGCATTAATGAATATTATGAGATGTCCCTATCAGTTCATTGTGTACTGTGCACAGAAGCCCAAGTCAGAGCCGATAACCTCCCAACGCCAAAGAGAATACAAAAGTCCACCGGGATTCATCATTCAGTCCTGACGGCTATTCACCCGAAAGGTGACCTGAGCCACAACATCATTGAGGCATTTAATAGGGTTTGCTGGCATTCCCTTCGTCCTCCACGCAATATACCCATCCGGTCGCAGGAGCGATGCGCCAGTGGCAGACACTCCCAGTGCCTCTTGGAAGCTCCCTTCGTCAGTAAATTGAACGTCTCTTCCGATGCAAACATGCTTCAACGTAACTAATGATCTGAGATTCACCTGAGCCACGATGTCCCCCCATTCTGCTGACTCGGAGACCAACGTCCATGAGTCCTCGCCCACCACATCTAAGATAGAAAGGGGGTTGCCACCTTGAGTGACCCAGAAATGTGGCACATGCGTACCCGGCTGGCCGGCCCATTCGTCTGGCTTCAGCGCTCGCGGGAGGTTATTGTCGACTCCAATGAAGCCCTTCGATAGATACAGTTGTCCAAACTCCATCGCATTATCATCGAGCTTTTTACCGGCGGGCGTGGCCTTGTCGAGGTGGACTTTGTAATCGGCTCGGGCAAAGATTTGATCATGGCGAAGGAGGGCAACGGGACGCCGTTCTGCGTCGTATGTGTCTAAAAGTCCGGGCGATGCCTTGCCCGATAGAACGGCAGCGAGCTTCCAGGCGAGGTTATCAACATCGTGGATTCCTGTGTTTGCTCCATATCCTCCTCGGTTCGGTGGCAGCGTGTGTGCCGCATCACCGGCGAGAAAAACACGCCCCGACTGGAAGGTGTCTGCGACAAGAGCTGCTAAGTCCCAGCGACCGGTCGTGATTATGTCAACGGGTAGGTCCGATCTACCGATGGCTTGGTTGATCGCCGAGCGAAGGGTGGGTTCATCACGCTCAACGTCATCGTGAAACATCAACACCCACCGGCCGTCATTGTAGGTCGTCATAAACGCTTTGAGATCCGGCTGATCGATATTGAATTGGTGCACTCCCTGCATATACTGCTCCAATGGAGCGCGGAACAGGACGCTGCGCATGGTCTGCATATGGCCGCGCCCATTCCGTGGGATGTGGAGTAGCTCACGAACTGTGCTGCGATTGCCGTCTGCAGCGATGAGATATGAGCCTTCGATTTGTGTCTCCTTTTCCTGGGGGTCGACCACTGTCACAGTGACACCATGTGCGTTCTGCTGCACGTCTGCTACCCTATGCTGTCGCCGGATGTCCACACCTCTTTCGACGGCTGCCGCTTGGAGGATAGCTTCCAATTGATCTTGTGGCAAGGCTGCGCCGCGAGATGGCGAATACTGTTTCTTCGGAGCAGGTACTTCTTGGCTTGACCTTTTATTGGAGCTGTCTGTGTCTGACCAGGACGTGCTTTCAAACCATTTTCCTGTCATGCTCTCGACTCTCGCTCTCATCAGATTGAAGTCTTTGGGGATTTCTGGGATTTGATCTGCGATGCCGAGCCGTCGATATATTTCCAACGTCCGCGACGTAAAGCCAATAGCACGTGGGTGCTTCGAGATGCCTGCATGTTTCTCCAGGACAATGGTAGGTACTGTCTGTTTGGATAGACACAGAGCGGCCGAGAGCCCGACCAGGTTGGCCCCAACAATGATGACGGGTTGGTGAACCGAAGGAGACTTCATGATGTCGAATGAAATTGAGTAAAACAATCTTTGAATTGGAGCGAGGAACGAATTCTGTCCAGATGATGAGGATCTCACTCTAGTCGTGCTGTGAATTACATTCCACAATGGGGCTTTTTTTCCATATTCTTATACGTTGTGGGAGGAGACGGTCGGGCCCGAGACGCATCCTGCCTTCACCAAATTTGCCTGACTTCGGGCCCGAAGCTGCACCCGAGCTCGGAAGAATGACAACTTCGGACAATCATCAGTTTTGATCTTCGTAATACCCTCACAAGTGTATATTTCCCTTCCAACTAACCTCCGGGAACCTAGGCACTGTACAGACAAGGTTTATCAGTCTCACTGTCCCCCTTGCTCCGTTGAGATCAGTACATCGGATAGGATTGATGTTGACTGGTCTATCGTACGTCGATAGACGGTTAGTCGTATGTGTTTTGTGGTAGTATGCGCATCATGGACATTACATCCAGAACTATATCTGGCGAATATGAACACTTTAATACTGGGATGAGGACCAGATTGTTGGTCCTGGTGGTGACGCAAGCCGGTTCTTTCGCCATCATGAGTTGACTTGTTCCGTTTTCGGAAGACAGTGACATGGAACACGAACTGTCGAGACTTATATGGGTATTTGAGAAGGATGTTTTGAGGCCCCGTTTGAGAGGATTTACCATGTCTCGACTGATTGATATATGAAAGATGCTCCAAGGTTTAGTTTAGGCAAGATCCTCGAGTGTGGAGAGTGTTGGATGGATGCTGTGGACCAGTGTGCCGAGCAAATCAATGCAAATTCAAACTCATTGCCTAAGTGCCTGTAACAGACATTCTCCATCCTTGGGTCCAGTATCGTGCATTGGATCAATGTCCAGGTCGCTCGTTTCGCAAACGAGGCTCGCTGGCTGAACACGAATATACTCCCTAGAGCCTCCGAGCATAGAAGGCCTGGGATAGTCTGCTCATCTAGGAGCAAAGGGAATGTTGGACACGACCAGGCTGGGATTCGGGAGGCGTATCAGGCCACACACCCATTCTTAGAGGAAAAGGGCGGCTGCCTTGGCCAAACTCATCCCGTACAAATTACCAAACCAAGTATAGGAACGGCTCAGCACCAAGTAGTGCACTAAAGAATACGTATGCGGGTTCTGATTGGTGCATGGTGTTATTTCCGCGATCCGTTTGCCGTGGAAGAGCTACAGCAAATACTAGTTGGGTCCCGAGTGGAGTAACTATGCCAATGCTGTACGCAGTGAGTCCATGCATAGGCACCCTTCGAGCCAACGTAGAATGACCCGTATTGTAGACACGACCGGGAACATTAATCTAACGATGTGTTTCCCCGCGAGCAGGAACTTGTACCCGCTTTTGGTATCAAGCTAGATTGGTTCAAGGACCTTTCTGATTGAGACGATGTCGCTTCAAAGTAATGATAGGGTCGTATAGAAGTGGAACCGGTGGAGACCCACGAGAGAAGTGTGGGCAATCGAAGGGTAGATTGAATTCCACTGGGACGCTCTTGTTGCAATGGGATGTCTACAATGGCTCGATTTTGGCTTCTGTCGAATTGCTTGACGCTGACCATGAAGGACTAACAACACCGTACATGGATAGTCATAACGGAGCACCCTGCTCCGTAATAATTATTGTCTCCCTGTACACACGGCTGAGGCACTTACAGGACTTTCCGGACAAGGCCCCTAGCCTCCTGCCAAAATTGCTGGCTCAGCCAAAAGTCTCGGCGCACCAATCTCGGCACGGTTTATCAGGGTAACTTATGCGGATGGACAGAGCAGTCCTGAGCTGATTGCTGAGGATAATGCCGCTTGCATCATCACCATGGGTTTTGCTCTAGAAGCTGCCGCGTCACTGCAATCGACCAGTCATGGCGGAAGTTAAAGGCAAGATTTTTCCCGATCGTGGTAACACCATTTTTCTTGTGCAGGAATGAGAGAATCGACGGAACTCTACTTCCCGCGATGGAAGCAGGCCGTGCAGGCCACCATACCTCACCATCTCAGCCATATTGATCATCGCGCAGATGGGTGAACAGCGCACCGACTTGTATGGCTCAGCCCCAACCGGTACTTGCATTAGTGGCTGTCAATTTCTATTATAGAGTTGGCGAACAGTGCCATAGGCAAACAACGGGGAATTCGGAGGTTGATCCTTCACCAGTTGTGGTTACCGAGGGAATTAGCGGGGCCCGCAGATGTCGGAATGGCTGCAGCGATTGGTGTTGTTGGCCTTGGTGGATCAGACGTCAACCCCGTCTTTGACGGTTGGAAGGAGGGAACAATGTCAATTTCTGTTCTGATTGGCAATTTCGCTCGCGCAATCTTAAACCCCTGGCGAGGTGCTTTGATACGGACACTAATGGCCTGCACCGGGATGGTTGCATTGAGCCATGGCATTCCCATGACGGCAATGGCTTCTGCTCAGGTCTTGTTAGGTCTTGTCTTGTTGGTGGCTTGGGAAGTTGACGGAAGTACCAGGCAGAAAAGTTAATAAATGTGAGCACAATATGGAAAGTATGGCGATCGGGAAGGATATGATGGTGTACAGAAGACGGCATTGTGTGGAGGGGGGGTTTTGCATGGTCCAGTGATCCAGGCAACCCCCAACCCGCGTTGGCCTCAGGTTCCGACAATGGATTGTTTTGTATGTACCTCACCCTCATTCTTTTGTGTTCTTGAAACCAAAAACCAACATTCCATTTCTTGATCCTCTGCCTCCCATTCCAATCCACATCGACACCACATCGACAATCATGCATCCACCCAGCCCTCACTTCCCAACTATCTCCAGATATCGTTCTCTCACCCCCTCCCCGCATTATGCCGATCGACTGATCCACAGTGGGTGAGAGCGATAGTGGCAGGCGGGGAAGAACGATGACGGTGGAGTGCTTTCCACTGTCCGTCCAACAATGTCGGAATACCCAGCTACTCGTCCGATGCAGACTCCACCAAGACCCAGGGATCGAGAACCTCGCGTTGATTGCCTTACTATACACCATCGACCCTGATTGGCTCGCAGATACCTGAATATGTGTGCACAAGGAGCGTTATCTGGAGGACGCAAGTGTCTGCTCACCCGGCATAAAAGACCCCCTAATGTCCCCGGAAGTTCAATATTCAAATCTTTCCAATCTCTCATTTATTCTCCATTATTTCCAGCCTTACCTTGCCTACTTTCCATTTTTAAAAACAGTTTGTTTAGCTTCGACATCAGCCCTACATAATGATTGCCCCTTCGGAACCTGTCCCATCCTCCAACTCTGCTGCAGCCCTCACCCAATTCTTTCCCGGTGCCGACTTCAAGGAGGCTTTCAATGAGAAGGTGATCTTGATTGTGGGTAGGTAATCCCCTCTGAGCTCCACTGGGTGCCCAACCTAACTCGCTTTGTGATAGGTGGTGCCAATGGCATTGGAGCTAGCCTTGTTGAGCTCTGTTGCCAAAGCGGCGCTCACGTCTGCATTGGCGATATCGATGTCGCCCAAGGAGAGGCCCTAAGCAAGAAATGTCGAGACAAGTGGCCTGTCTACTGGGACCCGGCCCTTCCACCCAAGCCTCCCCGAACCTCCTTCTACACCGCCGACATCACCGACTACCAGGCCGTCGTCTCCCTCTTTGACCGTGCATTCAAGACCTACAAGCGTATCGATCATGTGGTTGTCACAGCGGGCAGCATGGAGGCGGGCAACAATTGGTTTGACCAAAAGTTGAGTCTGGAGTCGGTGCAAGAGGTAAGTCCTCGTCTATACATGCTCATAGGAGGGTAGTGTACTGAGCTTTCACCAGCCTCCTTCTATGAAGGATATCGACGTCAACCTCATCGGTTCACTCTATGTGACCCGTATTGCGAGTGTCTACCTCCGCCATAACCGTGGGCCCGCAGTGGATCGATCCATTTTGCTGTTCTCCTGCGCCGCGGGCTTCAAGGAGACACCGGGTGTGTCTATCTACCAGGCCTCCAAGCACGGTGTGCAAGGCCTCATGCGCTCTCTTCGCCCCTACTTCCCGTCGCCATACAAACACAATCTCCGCATCAATACCATCTGCCCCTGGATGACGGAGACCCGCACTACCCTTACAAAGACCGTGCACGACCGCTGGACCAAGGAAGGCTTGCCCGTGAGCACCCCTCAGGAGGTGGCTCTCGTCTCTGCTGGCGTGTTAGCGAACGACTCTCTAAATGGGACATCCATGTACGTGGAAGGGGGCCGTGCGTGGGAGATCGAAGCCAATATCGATCGCTTAGAGCCGGAGTGGCTGGGAGAGGAACCGTCCAAAACGCTGGCGTTAGGACAGAAGGTACTTAATGACGCATGGGCTGCGTAGAGAGTCTACCATGCTGAACCGGTTGCATGTTGGAACATGTGTTACCAATTGATACCCATTAACGACCACGAGAATGACTGAACTATCCGAATGGAAAAGTTAAAGAATGCTCTAAAGCCCTATGATGCAAGGTAGTTTGACGTTGTAATTTTCAAACCACCATTTCTGTATTGTTGCTGCTAGAATAAGGTCACAACTGTACCCAATAGGACAGAAGAGGCATATCCATGCGTCGATTAGGTACCTAGTACAAGTTTCAGCAAACCTGGACCGTGAAGCCGCCAACACATCCCATGAACCTGGGTTTGTGGCCCAACTTCGTCCCGTTGCAATCACCGGAAGCGATCGGCTGTTGCTCAATATGTAGCAACTGCATGGGCTGTGCATCATGGCATTAGAGTTTTGCCTGTAACCCGCTTTTTCAGCCACGGGCACGAATGAATATCGGTGGTAACTTGCTGCTCTTTCTTGGCGCTTAACACAAAACAAGCAATGGAGCTGAATGACCAAAATAAAAGGCTCAATTTAGGAAGGACACGAAGCGGTGTCCAAGAATGCCTCGTGGGTTGCTCACGGGCATGATGTCACATCGGCAGCATCGAGAGATGCTTGGCTCGTTTTGTGAACCTCTGAGCACCTATATAAACAGGCGGAAGCGATGAAACGAGTGAGTTGAAACCTCCATCCATAGGGTCCTAGCAACAACATCCCCACCGTTATACTCAGTACTCTGCTGCAGGACCATGGCCAACAAGACTGTCTTAATTACAGGGGCATCAGGCTTCGTCGCCACCCACGTCGTTGAATCGTTCCTGCGTGCCGGTTACAATGTCCGCGGCACAGCTCGATCCGAACAGACGGCCAATAAGGTCCGCTATACCTTTCAGGAGTATCAAGACAAGTTGAGCGTTGTCATTGTACCTGATGTCGTTGCTGCCAAAGCCTTCGACGAGGCCATCGAAGGAGTCATCGGTGTCATTCACACCGCGGCACCCTTCCAAACGGAAGTCGACGACAAAGAACGAGATCTGATGCGACCTGCTATCGACGGAACGGTCAATCTGCTGGACTCAATTAAGAGAAATGGCCCTCAGATCCGCCGGGTCATCCATACGTCTTCTTTTGCCGATATACTCGATATGTCAAAGGGAGACCGGCCAGACTACGTATACACGGAGGAAGACTGGAATCCGATAACATATGCGGAGGCCATAAGTGAGGGTACCCCGGATATGGTATCCTACTGCACAGGAAAGACCATGGCGGAGCATGCAGCGTGGGATTTCATGGCCACAGAGAAGCCTCCATTTGACCTGGTCACGATCTGCCCGCCGTACGTGTTTGGTCCGGTGAAGAACGCTACAGCAAGCCTGGTTAACCTGAACACTTCGTCTATGGATGTGTATCGCCTCATGTCGCCCATGTCAAAACCAAGCCACTCTATGCCAGAAACTTCAGTGTGGGCATGGGTGGATGTGCGTGATGTTGCTGAAGCGCATCTAAAAGCCTTCGAGGTTCCCGAGGCTGGAGGACAGCGGTTCTTGGTTTCTGAAGGTAGATACAGTTATCAGCGAATAGCTGATATTCTCCGAGATAGGGTGGCGGAAGTGAGAGATCGTGTTCCTTTGGGTAAACCACAATCCGGACTACACGATGTCTATGACATCGATGCGTCCAAGTCAGAGAATGTATTGGGGCTGAGGTATCGTCCCTTGGAAGACTCGATAGTCGACGCGGCAAAGTCCCTTCTGAAGCTGGAGCAGGCGAATTGATATTGTACTACATTATTCTGAGTTTCGCTTATATTATTTCCTTATGCACCACCAGGATTCATTGACTTTCGGCACGCTCTAGGATAGACCAGGTCCTGCAGATGCAAGGCTTGGTGTACAGGGACTTGAAGCAATTACCAATTCGGCGAGTGGGACACTGGATTCTACACGTAGAAAGACACGTCGTACTGTCCCAGGCGACCTTCTGTAGAACGGATACAAGTATGATTTGGTATCGCACTTCGAGCGGTCGCCACTACCGATATTACAATCTATCTAGAATATTTAGCGCCTCGCCTTCCATACTCCGTACCTCGCATGTTATCTCAGCAGGCTCAGACCTTCTGACGAGGAAACGATCTGTATGAGACTTCGCTTAGATTTATGCAAATCCTTGCCTAATCAGAGCGCAGGCCACAGTTTCCTTGTTAGAAAGTCTGAGTTCAGATAGTTGATCTTTCTTAAGAATGAATCTCTGCTTCTCTGTGGGAGGTATATCCCCTTTCACCTTTGGTACAGAAACAAAATATACTGTACATTAGTAGCCATACCCGATACTATCCGAGCACTGTGCTTCATTAAGGTAGCCCAACGCAACAAGAACAAGATGGCGGGCAAACTTATGAGCCGGTCAGTGGTGTCGAAATATGCACACGCCGCGACACTCATGGGGATCGACCTGGCTCCAGCAGGTAGTCGATAGCATACAACAGGTAGATTGATTTGCGCGAGATATGGCAGAGGCACTAGGTAAGGCGTCCTAGTCATGGTTGTGAAGGGCGCTATAGAGCTCCTGCTGAATAGGCTCGCTCTGAAGTATCTAGTATTCCTTCTCCAGGTGAGAGTTTAGGGATACTAGAGTGTCTTCCATTGTTGTTGGATAGAGTGGACCGTCACTTAGCAGCGTATGAAGGAGGATAATGGCCGTATTGCATGGGGTGGAACGCTGTGAGCATGTTCATTAGATAATGAGTCCCTCGGAATCAACCAAGGCTGAGCCAATGGGACAACTAAAGTCCGGACTGAGTCTCCTTGAGCGCTCAGTTTGGGCTTCATGGAATCTCGAGATGACCTGAACTTCAGGACTTCATCTATAGGCATATTTATGTCTTACGTCGGCACGTCTAAACCCCTGATGGTCTAGTTGGATATGACGTCTGACTGTAATGGGATTTCTTACCTTGTAATCAGAAGGTCGCTGGCTCGATTCCGGCTCGGGGGACGACTATTTTTTTATATTTGAGGTGGCTCATCTGTCTATGTGCAAAGTGTAGTTGATTCGAATCCCACAGCTACCAAACCTATTTGTAGGGCATCATTGGAGGCGGGATTGACTAAATATACGCCCAGTACTAGAAAAAAGGTTGGAGGTGTTGAGCAAAGGGTTAACATTTATCTCTCCCCTTCCCTGTCTCTATGCTAAGTGTGATAGAAGCCTTGTATAGCTTTTTTCGGCACCGTGATTGATATTTCTACTCATGTAGGACGACTGTATGCCCTTGACTGGCTTTTTTTGTTTCTCCAGAGTCCAATTAGAGATGGATTCACTATTGACGTATATAGGACAACTTTATAGCATTCAGTCACAATCACAGACCTATCCAGTCGTGACTCGGAACATGTGTTACAGCAGTGGCTATCTGACAGGAATATATGTCTTCTATGATAGTACAATATAATACACGCTGATCGATGTATTGCTAAATGCAAGTCTAAGCCTTCGCCGGCCGAACCATGTAGATCTGTACGAATTCCTCCGTGATCTCATTCGATCCCACCACCTGGAATCCCTTCTTTTCATACAAGGGCTTGCCAGCCGCAGTCGCTGTTAGGAAAGTGGGCTTACGGTCAATATCAGCCTCCTCCAGCCCCCAGCCCAGAAGTTGACTGCCTATGCCCCGACCACCAAAGTTTGGGTGAGTCGCGAGCATATCCAGTGCTGTTGCCATTGATACTTAGTATATCTACAAGAGAGACTTTGGGATAAAGGTACATACACAAATGGGGGGTCGATCCCATAAGCTCCTCCTCTTTCTCATGCATCGCGTTGAAATGCTTCTTACAAAGTGCCGTGTCACCACTTTTCGGCCACAGAACTTTCTTTTCTTTCTCTGTATTTTCACCCGGCGAGGGCAATTCAGGAGAAGGAAGCTTCCACTGTGCAAATCCAACGACATCACCGGTCGCCGTATCCACCGCCTTAATGAGCACTGAGCCAGTGGGATTCACATATTGGCCGTTACTGACGCGGTTGAATTTGGCGGCGAGCCAATCCCGGACATCCGGTGTTGGAGGGAGGATGCGACGGTCGAAGTCGGTGTTGAATGCGGCGAAGAAAACGTCAGCTAGGACTGCTCCATCATCGGAGGCAGCCGTCAGGATTTCAATTGGCATTTTTGGTATTGCTTCTGTTGGTGAACATCGAGGGGGTGCCATCTGGAAGATTTTCACCGTCCGTACGTCATTTAAGTGAAAGTGGGTCGCCCGCTTCTTGCCTAGTTAAAAAGAATGGTTCCAAGTGTAGAGATGAAAACAATTGAAGTCTGTGTATTCGGTTTCTTTCTTTTTTTCCCTTATTCCTTTCTTCAATTTTCGTTTTTTTTCCCTTTTTTCCTTTTTTTTTTTTTCTTTCGATGGGTGATATGCGGTTGCTCTGCTGCGGTGCCAAGGCAATTGCCCTAAGTTTGCTACCAAAACAACAGTTTAATTTAATCCATGAGCCATGACACCATTTGAATGTGCGTCGTGAAGAGGTCTTCACTCTAGCCAATGATTTAAGTACAGTAAGGATCAAATTGCAGCTCTAATGGATGGCTTAGTGGGTCTAAGTCAATGTCAAATTGGATTGGAAGACAATAGATCATTCCTCATAGCACGACAAAAGCGACAAGTTTTGGGGATGCGTTGACGGATTCAACAGGCACCTTGAGCGTTAGACAAGCTCAATTGAGAGTTTGCATTGTGGCTCATGATTCTCAAGCGAATACAATGCATATTGTTACTGCTATTCCCATAGGAGTAGGGAAGCCAGTGAATCGACCGGGTATACCTCCCTTCGGCTAAATTCTTTGGCGACCAGATGCGCTCGGAATACTGGAAATATAACCTCTTATGTTAGGAAGAAAGCAGTAAACTGTGATTTTACAAAATTGCTCACTCATTGAATCACTTACCTTCGAGAAATATCGATAGCCCCAATCATGAACAAACATACCCCCGACACCAAAGCCCTCCTGAGGGATTCCTACAAGCATGGCAGCTCTTTCTTCATTACAGAGTCGCAGAAGAATCCACAAACGTTCAAAACATATCTGCTGGGATCCCCACTCAGAAACTCTTTGGCACCTCTCCTACACAATACCCTATTCTCCTTGTCAGGCACAACCTGCACATACGAAGCAATCGAAACAGACAACAACGCCAGGCTCTTAGAGCTACTCGCAAAATCAGACACTCTTGGTACGGCCGTGACCATGCCCCTCAAAGTCTGCTCTATGGACTTGGTGGACGCGGTAACGGATGAGGCACGATCCATCGGCGCCATTAACACTGTCTTTATCCGGCGTGATGATAACGGTTGCCCACGCCTGATCGGAACTAACACGGACTGCATTGGAGTGAAAGAATCATTTCTGCAGAACATTGACCGCATGGATCTTGCTTTTGGCTCCACTCAACCTGGTCTAGTGATTGGGGGCGGGGGTGCATGTCGCTCTGCGGTTTACGCCCTGAATATCTTTCTGGAAGTCAAGACAATATACCTCGTGAACAGGTTGAAGGAGGAGGTAGATGATATAATCGACTCATTCCGGCGAGTACCAGGTTTCACGGCGGAGCTTCGGTTTGTCGATACGGTTGAATTCGCAGGAGACCTCTCCAGACCTTACTTGGTGGTTGGTACCATTCCTGACCGGGAACCCAAGACAGAGGCGGAGATTCTCACAAAGAGGATTGTGGAAACTTTGATGGGATGTGAGGCAGGTCCACGGAAGAACCAGGGAGTCGTATTGGAAATGTGTTACCATTCTCGCGTGCAAACTTCGTTTTATCAGCTCGCGGAGAGAAATGGCTGGCGAGTCATTCCTGGGACAGAGGCGATGATTTGGCAGGGAGTTGCGCAGCATATTCTGTGGACCGAGAAAGACCAAGTCTTTGATGAAGCATCTACGCTGTCTACTATACGTGGTGAAATCAGGGACGCTCTGACGTGGAGGAACTAGGGAAAGCGTCCGGATTTTTAAGTTTTCTTAACAAGAACCCATCCTGCCTTTCTACAAGATTGCATCAATATTTACGAATAGATCTTACATGTAAGCACAACGTTAGAAAGAACGTAACCTCTCTCAGTGCACAATTCGTGGTTGACATTATATACCTACCTCCCTGACTTTGTATCTCTGCTATCAATCTATAAGAATACATAATACTGGCAATCGAAATAGCAAGGGCCCGAGTAACACTCTGCGTGATTGTTAGCTCCATATTCCTATCGGCTCAGTCAATACCCGACGGTTCAGTCCACAACCGTACATTCAGCACCTCACAATCTATAATATACACCCTACGCTCCTGTTCATACCCCAAACACCAAGCCAAAAAAAACCCTCTCCAAATCCAAAATGCCCTCAATCCTCCTCCTGAACGGCCCAAACCTCAACCTCCTGGGTACCCGCGAACCTCACCTCTACGGAACAACAACCCTCAACGACGTCGAAACAGCCGTCAAAGAACTCGCCGCCAACTACGACGCGGAAGTGGAATGTCTCCAATCCAACCATGAGGGTGTGCTGATTGACCGCATCCATGAAGCAAGAGGAAAAGTGCAGGCGGTTGTCATCAATCCGGGTGCCTTTACGCACACCAGTGTCGCGCTGCGAGATGCATTGCTTGGTGTCGGGCTTCCTTTTATCGAGGTCCATATTACCAATGTTCATGCACGGGAACCGTTTCGGCATCATAGCTATTTGTCGGATAAGGCGGCGGCTGTTATTATTGGGCTGGGGACTTTTGGGTATCAGGTTGCGGTGAAACATGCGTTGGAGAATTTGGTTGGGGTCGGTGAGAGCAAGTGATTGGTAGGGTTAGGGAGATTTCTGCTTGTATAGATGAGTATAGCTGTTGGGGTGGAGCTTGGGGTTGGGAGGAACCATTCGATGCTTGTATATATGGCTTCGTTCGAGTAGCATGAGAAAAGGGGTACTGTATTGCTGTCTCTTGGTCGAGACGAGGCTTATAATGGGTAGCTACCAAACACCGATTGAGGTTTCTTAACATAAAGTGCTCTTCTGAAATTATTGTGATATCATATCTATATAGTAAAGGCAGATCTCCAGACAAGAACATGCCGATATAATATGGTGGGCTGTGCCTCAGCCTGAGAATCACGGATACACCTAGCTAATACATCATAGCCATCCGTATCCTCCTGAAAAGATCAAACACCCCTATCTCTAATCGACTGCTGAATGGCACGTCTCATGACATGGACTGGCGCTGGTCGATTTGTAAAGAGCTCGTACTGTGCAATGCCCTGCTCGACTAAGACCGACAGGCCGTCCACAATGATCCAGCCTCGTGATACATGCTCCCTCATCGACTTTATTAGGCGCGTTTCCAGGGGGTCATAGGCAACCTACAGCTATTAGTGCAAGATGTTCTGCTAATTGGGAAAAGTCCTCACCTCAACAAAGACTCCGCCGGTTTTGCTTTGTAACCATTGGTCGGCAATGCGCAAAGCACTTGATGATTCAATATCGCACCTCTGCCCAGGAATACATGACACAATGATTGTGGGTTGGCGAAGGTGAGCTGGCCACGGGTCATCCGGTGATGACAGTATGGTCAGATGTAAAGGGGCCTTATTCTTTGATTCCACCCAGTCACGGTAGTAGTCAACAAGACGTTGAGCATTAGAAAGGGTCCGGTTATAGACACATATGTGCCTCACACCAAGCTGGTAGCTCGCGTATATCGCGGCATGGGCCATGCCGCCCGCACCGATGATCAGGGCAGTTGATCCATCACGGATGGCATTTGCTGGGGAAAGGTGCTTATAGATGCAATCTTGGATTCCAAGGTAGTCCGTGTTATAGCCTTTGCGAATGACTTTGCGTACTCCATTCGGCTGGTACTCACGATGAAGGACCACTGTATTCACGGCGTTGATATCCAGGGCGTCTGGGCTGATCTCGTCCAGGTACGGAAGAACTTCAGTTTTGTAAGGAAGCGTTACCGCCACACCTCCATAGCTCTCGTCGTCCAAGAATTGGCGAATATCAGATAGCCTTTCTCGTTCTGCTGTGCCATATGTATATGGTAGTCCACACGCAGCGTAGGCGGCGTTGTGCATCGCCGGTGACAGAGTGTGCGACAGTTGTTGCCCAAAAATGCCGAATTTCTTCTTGCGACGTAGGAAGCATGCTGACACGGCCATCTGCGCTTCCCGCAAGGTAACACCTGTTGATCTCATAGTTTCAAGCACCACCGGCGACAAGGTTGGATTTAAGCAAACAGAGGTGCGCCCAAAGAACCCCGTGTCGTATGCGATGGTGGGTATGAGAGAGTCTCTGGCGAGACTGTGTGAGAAAGGTATACCGGGAAAATTATCTCCGGGTGCTGTTGATTCGCCGGTTATCTGGAATGCGTCGAAACCAATACCTTGCGCTTTATGACGGAGGGCGAGAAGCTCGGGGAGTGTTTCACTCTTCGCTAAAGAACATTCCTGGTGATAGGTGGCTATGGCCTTGGTATAACCCTTGCCAGCAACTACCTCTTGCGCCAGGTCATCCCCACAAGCTAAGGAGCAAGTGATAACATCCGGTATAGTGCGTAAGACCATCCCCAAGAGTTTGCGATAGCTCTTTATATCTGGTACAGAGGATGGAATGATGTCTACGATCACCAGGGCCCGTGAATGCCTCCTAAGCATGGCTACAGCTCTTGCGACTGCCTCAGATGGCCTTCTGCCCTGGAGATCTGAAAGCTCAACCTTCAGATTTATTGCATCCGCCCCATTGTCGATCTCATCATAAGTTTTGAGCTGTCCCTCTAAGCAAGCCATTGGCAGCTGCAAAGCATATGTGTACGACGCAGAGAAGGGATCCGCTGAATAACGAGTTCGGTGTTCACGACCCCAGATCCGATGGAGAAACCTTACGAACGTTCTCTCTGTCTCTTTCAACTTGAGATACGCAGGTAGTGCCGAGTGAGACTCGTCGGTCGAGCCTTCTGTGACGTTGTAAAATTCCAGGTTGGAACAGGATTCAAAGAATGCATTTCCAGCCTCCCACATGCGCTCGAACTTGTCCTGGCTAGTAGCGATAAGCTGCTGCAAATCGCTTCGATCTCGACGGATGTACAGGACTGGGTGACAAGAAGCGAACTCCTCCAATAATACTTGCTGTTGTCTGCTTGCCAGCCAACCGAGTCCAACGATCACACATCCTTTTCGATGTTCAGTTAAAATCTCCTCGGTCACTTCTAGCTCACGTTTGCGATATTGTTCAGACCCATGTGCAGCAATGTAGCCATGCGGAGGCATACCATGCCTTTGTTGGAAAAAAGCGACAAAGTCAACAAGCCGTCGGCGCAACGCCACAGCTGCCATGATCCCTAGGGTTTTCTTGCCCGCCCCGGGAAATCCGACCAGCGCCAGGCTAGCGTCCGAACTATATCGTCGAGAAGACGATGGGAGTCCATTGTGGTGCGCATTGCTACTGGATACCTGAAAACTCATCGTCAGTGCGCATATATTCAGAAAGAATCACATTGTTTGAACCCATACACAGCGAGTTCGTTTGGTTCTTGATGTCAGAGTTCCGAGTGCTTCATCGGTTAATTTCATAGCCGATCACGTGCGTCCGCCCATGTCCTCGTTGGGATATACGACGATGACCTCAACTACTAGCGAGTATACCATGCTGACGGTCTCAGTCCAGCATATTTGAAGAGATGCCAAGATCTCATTCAAACAAGCGTCAGCGGATTAGTCGCGCTTGTGACCAGTGTCGTCGCCGTAAATCCAAATGCGACGGAGAGCAACCAGAGTGTGCGATCTGCCGCCAGGCGGGCCGGCGATGTACATACCAGGACAGCGGTCGACGGCGCGGATTGCAAACTGGCTACGTCAAGGCCCTTGAGACTGTACTGGGAATCGTTTTCCAGCAAATCCCTGACAGTGAAAGCGCGGTTCAAAGCTTTCTTCGTGACCCTCAACATCACGGCGGCTTTTTCGCCACTGAATTGGCAGAAAGGTGTACGATGGCATGGCGCAATTCTAAAGTTGCCAAAGGTGTGAGTCGCCTATTAGCATCTGAATCGCAAGACGAAATATATGACCCTCTCGGTGATGATGATGACCACCAATGGGAATCTTGCGACACACATAGTCCGGAGCGGACGACCCAGATCCCAATGAGTGTCTCGAATGCTGATACGGACTCTATCCCACCTCCACCTCCATCACATCCAGCTGCATCCAATGACATTCTAAGCTTGCCATTCCCAGACGACGTGGCGGAGCTGGTGGAGTTCTACTTTGTTCACATTCAATGCTGGTTCCCTATCCTGGACCGACGTGAGATCCTGAGGACTATGCACGGTGACACTTCTTCAAAGAATCATGACGCAGGCTATCCATTAGTCCTATGGGCTATTATTGCATATGTACAAATGATGCGGGAAGGAGCAAGCTTAGAGACTTGTTCTGAACCGAGACAGATAGAAACCTCCATACGCTTGCGCCTGATGCTGGATTTCAACAATCTAGAATTGAGTCACGTCCAGACCCTCCTCATTGTGGCTCTCCTGAATGTTGGTTGTGGAAACCTAAATCAAGCCTGGGTGCTCATCGGTCAAGCTATGAGGGTTGTCATTACCCTCCCCGAAACGGCGAGAAAAACGAGATACTCACACGTTTTTCAAGGCTGTGTGTTTCTTGATAACATGGTTTCTGCACTTCTCGAAAGGACTCCCTGTCTCTCTTTGGAGGAACAGAGTGAAAACCAACCCGTCGCGGAGGACGATCTGGAGGAATGGGAGACATGGACAGCTCCTGGTCAAGCCTCGAGCCAAAGAGCTACTCAAAAGGGGCCATTGCGAGCCTTAAGCATGTTTAATATGGCCCATCAACTCATGCAGTTACTGGCCCGAGTCTTGTACTGTCCACCCCGACAAGACGCCATACAACACGTTGTAGCCAAGCTAAGAGACTGGCAGTCAATTCTTTCAACACGCTGCCCATATCCGCCGCGCCACTCACCTAACCCTCCACTGCTGAATTTACACCTCACATCAGTCTTTGTTACGTTGTGCTTGGTTAGCAAATGTAACTTCGATGATGTGACCATTACCGACATGGCACTCCATGGACTACGAACATGCCTCGATTTGCTTCATGATTACATTGAGATCACAAGCGAAACGAAATCTTCTCCACTTCTGTATTGGTTCTTTTTCCAGGCACAACGATGTTTACGCACAAGTTGCCTGATTAGCGGTTGTGGTGAGGAGGATGTGTTGCAGAAGCGTTGCGGCCAGCTCACGGGTAAACTGAAATTGGCCAGTCCTACGAGTTTCAACCGATCCTATACAAGCCACACGCGACCGGGCTGGAATGTAGAGGACATGGGCCATCTGCTTCCTGGGACCCACGCCTTGCACCATGCATTTACTGCGCACATACCGGCTAACATGCCTCATGGTCATGCGACTACCCCCATTATCAATCCTACCACCATTCGTAACCCTTCGAGCTACCCGATCTCTGGCCTCTCTGGCACACCTGAATTGACAGTAGCACCTACTATCCCTACCCCGGTTTCCCCCATTCATCGACAAACGCCGCATCTACTGGATGAAACCGGAAACTTTGACGCTTTGTTTGAGGAGATGATTGCTTCCATTACGCCGATGAGGTATGCTGCAAGCTATCCAGGATACCGTCAGTTTCAGTCCATGCTAACACTTTACAGCCACGAACCTACATTTGCACATAACCTGGGATTCCATGCCGGGAACCTGGTAACAGACTTTGTTGCCGAGCTGCAACAACCAACTCACGATTGACACTCATCTGTAATCCTTGATTATACGAATGCAACTAGGAAATATCGTCTGAAATAATAGATACACAACAAGCCATCCTAGAGATCCAGCTCCTCCGCCAGCCTCTTCCAAGCTTTAATGCCCCGTTGTGCATGTGTCTCCGGCACTGTCGAATCTGGATCGGCCATCGACCTCGAAAACAACTCCATTGACACCCACCCTTCAAAGCCAAGACCTTTCAAGAATGCTTCAGCTACCTGTACTACTGGGAGATAACCACCGCGCTCTTGCTCATAGAGGAACAGTCTGGCATTGCGACTCCAGCTCATCCGCGCCGGCTGTCCTTCGACATAAAAAGGATGGCCCTCGATCAACGGCCGTTGCATTCTTTCTGCGTCGACAACCTGCACGTAAAACACCTTGTTCACATCGACCGTCCGAACGAGGCTCTTTAATGATGCAGCCAATGCCGTGTCTGCATCTGGTGTCGTACCAGAGATACTGGCAGGGTCGGCCCAGACCCGTCCGGCGATGTTGAAGGTGTCCAGACAACACCCGAAATTAGGCCGGTCCACACGTCGAACCACCTCCCACAAACTCTCCCACGTTGAAATGAAAGTACCCCAGGCGAGATTCTCGTATGCAAATCGGACGACAGGCTCCTCTTTCAGTCCCAGGTCTGCGACTTCGACCATGTCGGAAACAATCAAATCCAGATCACCCGATATTCCGTCGGCTTGAAAGTTAGAAGGTATTTGGATGATATCGGTGCCCAGAATCTTGACTATGACAAACCACAGCTTAAGGCGCTCGATCTTTTCCTGGTGCTGTGCTCGATCCGTTAAGCCTTCATAGAACAAGAATGGTTGCATTCCGATCACTTTGAGGCCATGGTGGTCGCAGATTGCTCTCGTCTCTTGAGCGGCAGAAAGTAAGGCAGACTCAGTCACGGGCCCTTTTTCTTTAGCGAGATATTCCAAATCTTCGTAAAATATTTCGACACCTTTGAATCCTGCTTTCGCTGCCTGGGCGAGCTTTTCGGGGAGAGAATGTACCCAGGCTCTTCCCAAGGACATGGATGCGATTGCTGGCTCACAAGGCATTTTGGCGTATCAACAGCGAGGTACAACGACAAGATACGTGCAGAACAATAAGCAGTCCACAATTATAAAGGAAACTGAAAAGGATGTATACTATGGTTCGAGCCACTGGTCCTGTACATATATTAAGTGGTAACGGCACTATTCTTAACCGAACTTGAGAAGAATCGGAAGAATGTCCGATCATCTATCTAAAAATGCATAATTCTTCAAGGAAACCTCCCCAATTTAGAAATTGATCGCCGGACTTTCCTCGGCCGCCTTGCGAAGCACATTCCAGGCCTCATTCACAGGGATTCTACTACTTTCCTCCTCGCCGCACCATAGTCGATACTGCTCATGGATCTGGTGGCCGATGATCTCGGTTCCCTCAACGGTCCTCCAGCCGTTTGCCTTTCCAGCTTGCAGGATGCGCGTATTTCGTGGCTTGAAGCACATATCGAGTAGAACACCCTTCTCTTGAGGGGTTGACAAGAATGATCCGATGATTTGGTGAACCTGAATTTCATCTGGGGTACTGGGTTCGGCATCCGGAACAGTCCCCACGATGTAATACGGCGATGGAAGAGTATTGACCTGCTCGGCGCGCTCGACGTAAATTATTTCCAAGCCATCGCCATACACCTGTTTTGCTTCGTCCAAGAGGACCTTGACTTCATCGCGGTCTCGATTCACCAGATAGATCTGATGGCACTCCAGTTGGTCGTGCAGGGTGAATATTGCCGCCCGCGCCGCTCCTCCAGCGCCAATGAGCACAGCCGGCTTTCCCCTGCCTGCTGCGCTCGCTCCCAGCAAACATCCCTTAATTCCTCGCCAGTCTGTATTGGTACCTCTTAGCTTTCCGTCAGACGTCCGGTATACGTTGTTGCACGCCCCCAGCCGGATAGCGTATTCGTCCAGACCGTCCAGGTGGTCCATGATGGTGCGCTTGTAAGGCATGGTCACCACTCCACCGGCGAAGTCAGATCGTCGAAACAGTTGTACGGCATCTTCAACCGTCGGACACTCTTTTGCCAGGAACGTCCAGTCATGACCTAGTGCTTTTGCGATGTAGTTGTGCATGGGTGGAGCGATAGAGTGGGTCACTCCAATGCCAACGAGGTATGCATAGGCACGGGGATCTGTTTCTGAGGGCATTTTGGAAGACGTAAATGAAGTGATGCTGACCTGATAGAGGCGGTGGTTTCCGTGTAGATTAATGTGTGTTGTGGTAGATGCCACCATATCTTCTTAAGCACAATGGATCGGCTGTGAATACAGCCGATCCGGGGAGGATTTACCCGACTACCTGGACGTCGATGCATGTTGGTCCCCGGAAGTATGGTTCCGCGCCTGTCATTATTTATGAATGTCTCTTTGCGCTGATTGACTTCCTTCCTCTAGAATTCCAAAAAAGCTTCCCCTACTATTGCCCGAACATATCTCCCTTCAAAATGCCCGACCTCCACTCTCTTCCCGCTGGCACACGGCCAGAAAATGCCATCCGCAACAACGGGCCACCCCAACTGGCCCTGGAGCGCTACATGCTCCGCGAGCTAGCAGAGGGATGGCCATGCTATCGCGACGCGTGCGAATGGGAAAACCTACGCTCCATTTTCCACCCGGAGGCACACATCTACACGACGTGGACCGGGTTAACCCACCATCTCAAATTCATCGAAGCCTCGCAAACGGGAATGGACAAGGGAGCCTTCATCATGCACCGAATCCATGGAAGCACAACAGATATCGACCCGAATGCCACCCGTGCCGTAACAAAGATGAAGGCAACCATCACGCAGCGGTTTAGCGGCGTCAGCTGTGTATCCGGCGGGACATGCGAGGCTGATGCGGAAAGTGACTGTCGGTTTATCTTTTTTTGGGAAAAGATGACGGATCCGGCCTATCCTGACCTGCAGGGACAGTGGCGGGCTCGGTTTGTCCGGCACTGGTATGAGAAGGATAAGTTGATTCCTGTTAATCCGGGGCGTGTCCCAGTTCTGGATGAGGAGCGGTTGCAGAAGTACCCTCCTGGGTATAGGTATTTGGCTTATATGCAGGAGGAAACCATGGGCGTGAAGGTGCTCTTGGATTTGCCTGGTCACCGCAGAGAAGGGTCGACTATCAACGGACAAAAGCACGATTTGCTGTACTTCCAGGCTCGGGATTGGATGGAGGGAAAGGATGTCGCTTGGTAATGTACGTCGTACGCTGTTAGGCTTGGTTAAGGGATTTGGACTTCCATCAAAATATCTTTGCATAGTAGTAAAACACCATTGTGACCCTCATTTGCTAGACCTTTAACTCATTCAGAGCGTGCACCTGAGATACAAAACGCGTGTATGGTATAGCATACCGTTACAGAAGGGCTACGCGCCATGTCTGACAGCAGATTAAAGAGACATATCGGAGCCACAATAGCAAGACACTCGCTAAAATCACGTCATTTGTCTATGTACTCATATGAGAGTTGCACTCACATCTATTGCAATGTCCTAGTTGCATTTATGTTACAATGACGAGGTCACGCCCGCCTTGCTTCCTGTAGCAGCCTCCACAGCATTCCTCATAACGGCCTCCGGTGCATCCAACCCGGTCCACAAGCGAAACTGCTCAAACCCCTGTCGAAGAAGTACCTCTACCCCATCCGCCGTAATCCATCTGGGGTTCTCCTTCGCTACAGCCAGCAGGTTGGTCACTCTTGGCTTATATGCCATCTCAATGCAGAGACCCCTCTCGTTTCCAAACAAGCCCTTGAACGACTCCTGCGGCATAGCGTCCCCGGGAACAGTCCCAATAATAACATCCGGAGCTTCTGGCAGCGCCGATGGAAACTTAACCGGTATAACCGGGCATAGATCCTCAAAATCCCGCGCAATTTGCTCCGCCTTAGCCAGCGTCCGATTCCCAACGTAAATCCGCTCAATTCCAGCTTGAGCCATTGCATAAACACCTGCTCTCGCTGCGCCTCCAGCCCCAATGACCAGTCCAACTTGCTTAGCCTCCCCAGCGGCATGTTCCTTGATCAGGGAATAAAGACCCGACCAATCCGTGTTATCTCCGTGAATCTCACGTTTCGATGTTCCATCTCCAGTGTCAATGCACCGAGCAATGAGGGTATTGATTGCCCCAAGGCGAGTAGCAGAATCAGCGACCTGGGTACAGAACTCCCCGGCGCTCAGCTTGTGGGGCATTGTCACGCTGGAGCCGCCAAAGGCTAGGTCATCGATTATGGACTTGACGTCTTGGAGACTGTTGCATTCTTTGATATCGTATCGGTGTGGCAGGCCGTAGTGCGCGAAGGCGGCATTGTGAATTGTGGGTGAGAGACTTTGGGATATTCCCTGGCCGAAGATGTGGTAGTGTTGTGCCGTTGTGGTTGTCATTTTGTTCTGTCAGTAGCAATTGCTGTTGTATTGTAGAGATGAATGAGAAGCTCTACCGTTGCCTATACATGAGCTCATTTAACTATGAGATAAATTATGCGTCGATTCCATATCCGTACATCTTCGGCTATATCTATAGCCTAGCGTTCGGCAACGGTATCCGGCCGGACCAGACCAAACTCAACTTATACTTAGTCAAATGCTATTCACGCGCATATACATATGGTAGGCCTTAGTATGCGCGGAAATACTACCGATAGTGGAGATTGACCTTCTAGAGTGATTAAACCTTACTGAGGGGTTTGTTTCCCTAGCCATGAAAATGTTTGCCATCATGCGAACTGAATATGTTACACCCTTTCAATACTCAGACCCTCGGCTTTCGTCTGCTTTCAATCTACAGTCACTACTGCTGCGGTACCTCCCTCATACTATTCGATAAAAGATGGAAGAGCACTTGATTACTTACAAAAAGAGACTAGATGTTGATTCGTCTTCCTGAAGGATCAAAGGACAACCATGATAAGATTGTCTAGCAGAAACCTGTGCTGCTTGCTGCCGACTAGATACAACGATGGCCGTGAGAGCAAACATAGCAATGAGTGTAATGCTGGCATTTGCCTGGAACCCCAGGGTAAACACAGAAGGGATTGCCACCACTGCGGTCTGCTTCAAAGACCCTAAATACATCATTTTCCGACACGCCTTTCTCGGCCAAGAGATTTTCGAAAAGCTCCAAGGTCTTCATTCGCTCGTCAATTTCTTTGCTAAGATGGTCCCCGATGTAAGCCAATATCGCACCCTTAGGCCCGTTGATGGTGTAGCCCCCGTCCACGCTCTCGAGATCGACATCTGGGTGGGAGGCAGTGCATTCTCGAAGGTCGTTTTCGGTGTCCAGGACTATTGCACCTTCAAGGAGAGGAGTATTAAAGCGAGTGGTGGTTGCGTAGGCTGTAGCGACTACGCTGAGAAGAACCAGCCTGCGAAGGACGGCAGAGAAGATTCTCAAGAGGTAAGACAGGAAGCGGAAAAAGAACGATGAGTGAGTGATAAACGGGCTTTGTTCTGGGGAGGACAGGCGACTTGAATAACCGTGATAAACTGTCAGACAATTAAAATGCTTCAAGTTGATTTTCCCCCTCAGCACACCGCAGAAGGTTACATCCCACAGCCCCATAAGCAGGGACATAATCCCTGTCCCTAGGATCACGCCAGACCATCTCCGACTAAACCGCATACTCATCGGTCAGCTTCTCACCCGCGGCAATTTTCGCTTCCAACTCGGCGTTTCTGCGGTCGATTTCCTCACACAATGCATCCGATGCCACGGCGATGACAGTGCCATCGGGATCCTTGGCGTAGTGGCCGTTATTTTCGGGATAGAAAATGGCATGCGGGAACGTCTTTTGGACAAAGGCCGCTCCGTCGAGTGTGGTCACGATGAGGGCACCATCGGGAATTGGGTCCTTGTAGCGAGTGATAGACATCATTGTGCTTTTTTTTCACCGGGAGGGAGAGATTGTGGGCAAGGGAGGGATAGACAAGTCAATGGAAGATGGGACGACGAAAGATGGATCCCTCCATGCTTTTTGTAATTCAGGGTTACACCGACGCATGTGACGTGATGCGTTGGCATTTCTCGTATAGTCCGTCTAGATAATTACCATTAATTAGCTATTAAGTAGGGTCTTACTATCTGGAGATCTTGAAAATGCTATTTTTTATTGCGGAGCGCGAAGCCGCAGGGACTCTCCAGTTATATTATAGTTTCTCTCAAATTTAAGTTAAAAGTATACTCTGGTATATTCCAACTTCTTAAACTTAATTCTAGCTAGGTCCAAATATTCTCTACGATTATCTCCAGACTACCGTTGACTAAGTACAATATCTCCGGGACGTACGGAGTAGGGATAAGTTATAACGTACTTACTAGTGTATAGCCACCGTAGGTCTGGACTCTGGAGTGTTCTGAAACCCTGAGAGCCACTCGTATTTCCTTAACCTCGCATGTTGGTCCTTGACAGTATTCAAAAATCCTCCATACGCGAATGTTATATATGATATACTTATTTGAACCAAAGCCAAGTAGGAATCCGAATCATTCACTTTCCAGCCGTCCTTCGGTCTCGTAATTTATCCTGGTTTCCCTGACGTATACTATGCCAGGAGTTGCGCTTGGCAGCGAACTTGTTCTTGCCGAGAAGCCTGTGTACGGTGATAGTAGCACTAGATTCATTTAATCGATACAATCAAAGTCATACTAACCAAAGGCTTGTCGGTACGACGACCACCACTAGCAATACCGGCCTTACTACGAGAAGTGCTCTTGACAACCTAACGTCCGCCCAGCCAACTTGTTGAGCTAGGTATTTATTCATATAAACAATAAGACTGAATAAAGTATATCGAAAGTTGAGAGGTGTCCTTGAACCTGATTCAGACTTTACACTGCGAGTTTCGCATTCCCAACAATGCAGCAGGAGCATGAAAACCAAGTGGATATACCACCTAGAGCCTTCGAAAACGTACCCTTGGGCGACATAGCGAACAATGACATGCCACCTGTTGCACAGCCGGAAGTGTCATCTGGACGCTTGGTTCGAATTCGCCGAAAATGCGCCATTGCTGCACGAACATGCCAAGCTTGTATGCACTTTCTCATGGCGCAACTGTACAATGGCATGACACAAGCTCTTGCTGCAATACTCCAGCGGACTAAAAGCCTCCTAGGAAGTCTGCTCAACATTCTAAGCAATAAAATCCGGATTCTCAAGGCACCTATTCAGGCGGTAGTAAGAAAGATGTCACATCTAGCTTCCCTGGTCTTCGAGTAAGTTTTCAAGATTATCCTATATTTCCCCAGTATTGATTGAATTATTAGCTACTTACGAAACCATTTCATGGAAGTCCTGGGCACCGTGGTTGCAATCTCTTTTGGTGCTGCGATGCTGTATTATGCAAAGCGAACTGATGACTTCCAGACCGGACTAAATAGCATGCTTGAAACATACTGTACATGCACAACCGCAGCTCAGCCAATATGTGTTCGCTTCTTCGGCTATAAGAGGTATCTGGGTTGCATGGCTATCAAACGGCCGAGTTGGTACTTTTCTGAATGTGTGCTCGAAAGCACACCCAAGATCTGGGCAAGTCTGTGGGCGAAAGACTCGCTTATAACGATTTATGGACGATTGGATCTCCCGGCCGTCGAGACAATTATTGCAGTAATGACCTCATACGTCTTCCTTATAGGCGGAAGACGATACAGAAACCTGGGCTGGATTCTCTGCATATTCTCTGGTATTTTGCTACTTGCTGAGCTGGGCGGTGCCTTCAACCCGGTATTCAGTTCCAGCTCAAAGGCCAAGTGCATCCAGAGAGTGATAGATGAGTTTGGCAACATTCAAGGCAGAGACAATCCATTTTATATAGAATGGACTAAGAAAGTGGATATATCCAGTCTCTCGCATGAGGGGCTGGAGCATATTATGGTCAGGTTAGATGCGCTCATGTACGGCGAGGGTTGGGATGATTTACCGAAGCAGTTACTTGCAAGCCAAAGAATGAGAACTGCCTCCGCAGTACAGTCTGTTAACTAGTCATCTGTTTGCGGCATTTTCGACTCCATACGCTCAACTCTCAATGAGCAACCCCCGGGTATTGATTCCCCGGCCCAAACATCTCACCTCAGGTATCTTCAGGTTTGTACTTAAGCATGCTTCACCGGTGTCCAGCGAGAACGACATCACTTCAGCCATCTAGCCGCAGTTGCAAGTGAGGTAGCTGATTCCCTCTTTGCACATTGACACCCGCCTCCGTCCTCCCGGGCAACATAGTCAATCTCATCGAGTTCGCACGGTTATTCCTTCACTGCCATTATCTACAAAGAGAAAAAGCTAGCATGTTACCTCGATATTCGTCCTTCAAGTTTCTAGTTATGCTCGTTTATCTTCAGGGTTGCCAACCGTTGATGTGGATATCGAATCTTGAGAATGATTATAATCTTATTGTCCTACAGTTTCAGGTGCCGTTCCAAAAATAAATACATTATTTCTTTATCGACAGGAAGTTCCAACATGCACTTTAAATGATGAAAAAAATGTAGGTGGTGACATCAATATCCGGAAGTACTGCATATATTATCTTGAGGCAGCACTTGGAGCCCATTCTTTGCAAAGTTATCGTTGATTGTATACATCTAGAGCTAATGCCGCATCTATTTTGGGTGATTTCTGTGCTACCAATGGGCTTGATATCGATGTATTTCCTGTTTTGTTTCCCTGTTCCTATTTTATCCTTCAAAGCCCTCGAGTTGTCCAGTCCGCTCGAGCAATTGGGGGAAAAGTGCAGCAGCGTTCTCCGCAAAGAGCATGGTCTCGCTCTTCGTACTACGCTGAATCAGGTCCTGGCCGCGCAGAAACATGTCTTCTTCATACGCACTGAGGGCCTTTTCTAACGCAGTGTCCTTCATTTTCACAAGGCTCACATCGTTACCACATTGCTCGATAATGTGGTCCGCTAGCACAACTGCATCATACATGCTGCAGTTAACGCCTTCGCCAGCGAAAGGTGTCGAAAGATGCGCCGCATCTCCCAGTAATGTCACTCCAGGAGCCACATTACGGGTCCAACCAACTGACCCAGGTTCCATGTGGTACAACGGCCATGCACGGAACGGGCCCTCAGCAGTCTCGACCAGAGCTTTGAGCTTCGGTGCCCATGTGGCGTAGAAATCATTGGACGACAAGAGGAGCTGTCGGAGAACCTCAGTTTTGCTAGTGGTGTCGGTATCAGTGATAGTACTATGTTGACGGTGGTGGTAAAAGTCTTCAGGTACAGGCAACCCAAAGTACACGCGATACGTGCCATTGGAGACCTGCTGTACTGCCATCTTAATTCCGTTGCCCAACGCTGCCATGTTTCCCGGGCCCACCATCTCGGCGGCTATCGCGTAGCTCGGATTGTTATGCGACAGGCTCCCTTCGATGAACATCTTTCCTGAGTATATCGGCTTTGCCGAGGTGAGCTTAGCGGCAGATGGTTAGTGATGTCCATTCATTGGATCAAAGATGGAGGGATATCCTGTCAACGTACCAGAGGGCGCACCTTGCTCCAAGCCCCATCAGCACCAACAATAAGCTGAAACCCAGTCGTCGAGGTGCCATTCGCAAAGTGAATAACGCAACCATTATTACCAGACGGGATGCGGCCATCTACCCTCCTCTCAATGGTACTGACAGCATGATCCCAACAAATTTTATGCGCGGGCACTGAGCCGAGTAAAAGCTCGCGCAGTTGGAGACGGTCGATCTCAGGAGCATCATAGTCCTCGCCCATTTGGACAACTGTTTCCCCAGTTGAGTCGACAATACGCAAACCGGATGCCTCCCAGCGGGCGAGATCCTTGCTGAACTTGTCAAATAAACCGGCACGCTTGAGGGCCAGCTGTCCGGAAGACCCATGCAAATCGAGAGTTCCTCCTTGCTGCCAGGGGCCTGGTGTCGCCGACTCATCGCGCTCGTAGATGACATAGTCCGTGATGCCACCCAATTCTAAGAGCCGCGCAAATACGAGACCGCTTGGCCCTGCTCCGATTATTGCGATGGAGGGTTGTGACAGCATTGCTGCGAACTGTGCTGAATCTCAGCTAATAAATTTAGAGCACTTGAGTAGGAAAATAAGTGAAAATAGCCTGAGAATTTAAAAAATCCGATACTTTGACTTGTTTTATATTGTGCCCTACAAGGCATGTCACAAGTCCGGCTCGCATCCATCTGATTGGTGGACCTCGGACGCACCTCCGATGGCAGCCAGTCAACAACCAACGTCATGTATATTGCCTCAGGCCTGCCTTTTCTACTTCAGTTCATCCTATACAACAAATCAATCTGGCTCATCGGCTGCACCGGAACCCTTCCGGTAGCCCCCTGAAGATGGAAGCCAGCAGATCGTCGCAGATATTCGCCCGATACGCGGTAAGGGAAAACACCCGACGATAGCTATCGCCACTGATCAGCGTCTAACAGTGTGACCATTGTCGACAAAAAAAACTGAAGTATGCTCCCTCAACCTATTCATATAGCAAGAGCCGCTTAACTGATTCTTCTAAGATGCTCCCGCGAGCTTCCTAAATGCAGTACCTGCAAGCCATGGCCAGGGAACTGCCACTACTCGAGGGAGATACCGTCTTCTTCCCAGCCGAGTCCCAGTCGCGCGTCAGATCAACCCGAATTCATCGGACCTGAGCACTGTGATTCAACTAATTCGCAAAGAAGGCCAAAGGCACATACTACTATCGAAACTCGACTGCGACACCTGGAGCTCACAGTGCAACGTTTAACAAACTCTGTCGACCACGCTTTACAAACGATTCTTTCAGCACCCTCCAGATCGATTGACGCTCAAAGGCCAACTGAACCAAGTCAGTCAGTTCCATCTGCAGCGAATGACTCTAATTCAAGCCTATACATTGGGCCATCACATTCCTTTACTTTCTTACGGGAGACACCAGCTAACATCGATGCGATCCGTCGGCCATCATGCCACGAGACTCGTCAGAGCGCCTATTCAGAGCTTCAATATCTCTCTAATAGCCTAGCTTCAGCACAAGTATATCAAGAGACCATAGAAGACACTCGGAACTTTTACGTTCCCTCGCGGCCGGTGGGATACCGCTTGATAAGCAGTAAGCCGTTGTGCTGGGCTTCTCATAATAGAGCTGATTATCGTTCTTCGAATAGAATTCTTGGAGATTGCCGAGGTCGGCGACCCATTCTTTTCTGCTCCAACTGATGAAATGGTCCGAGAGATTGTTTTCGAGCCGCACAAAGTTCGGGAAAAGGCATGGGTTGTCTACTTCAACTACTTATTACTATCCGATATATCAGCTGGGGATGATTCCAGCAGCGAGACAGCAAAGCTACGGCGTAACGTACAGCTGGCGCTCAATGACAGCCGTATTTTCCTTGAACCACGCGAAGCTAATGTACAGACGTTGACTATCCTGGCCGCGCATGGTGAGGACTATGCGGCGCCCAACCTGTCGTGGATGCTACTGGGACACGCCTGTCGGCAGGCCGAGGCTCTAGGGTTGCACGCATCGGGTCACCGTTCAGCTGAGTCGAGACAAAAGCAACTTTGCCTTTTTTGGCTTCTTTTTGTCATGGATAAATCATGTTCTCTTGCATTTGGCCGCCCTGCGTTTCTTCCGACGGCTGTGTATCAGAACGTACCGTTGCCAGACGACGATATTCTGATCAGGTTCCACCTTCGTGATGGTGAGGAAAAGGCACAAAAGGTTTCCAAGTTCGGTGCCCAGCTTTTCAAGAGATCTACGGAACTCTCGAAATTAATAGGACTTGTCTTAGATGTCCTGGCGACAGATGCTTCCTCACCTGCAAAGAGGGATATTCGGGGTAAACTGAATGACTGGTATCAAGACACAAACCAGGTTAGTAATTCCGCATTGATAAGAGTATTTGAACCTTGGAAATTCTTACCTTCGAGCTAGGTTCTTACAGACGCCATGAACGCTGAAAGTGTCTTGGCAAATGCAAGTCACCGCAAGGAGATGGCTCTGGGTATTAGTAGCATGAAATTTCACTATCTTCACGTTCTTATCATCCTGCTAAAGGGGGATGAATCAAACTCAACTCTCCGACTTTCATCTGCCCGGGACTCTATCTCTCTCTTGAGTTCCATGGTGTCCAATTGGAGTTCGATCTACAATGGAGTGGTTTGGTATGAAGTCTATCCCTTTCACCATGCTAAGCCGGTGTGTTAATACGATTGACATAGGCAGCTCCTGTATTACCCTTTCACTCCTTTCTTTGTCCTATTTGAAAACATCGTCCATCATACTTGCTGGACACCGGCAGTCGGACAGGATCTACGGCTGCTATCTACGACTGTAACTTATTACGCGGAAATGCGATCCCAGATGCGTCTACTGGCGACCGTTTGTACCAGACTACAGCGCGTCGCGGCTGTTTTCCTTCAGCTGGCACAAACTCACGTCCGTCAGCACACGTCCGCCCCAACAGCGGATAACATGGTAACATCCACAGAAAGCCGCAGCACATCGCCATCAGGGGACTGCAATATGTCGGCCTACAGTGACCGAACAATGAACGATTTTGCCCCCAATCACGCTGGGGATAGCGAGACTGAGCCAAACGTCGACATAAGGGAGCCGGACGTCGCTAGTTACCTAGAATGGCTCCCTGCCGATCTGGCTCTCACATGGCCTATGGTTGATGTTAGTCGTCAGAACCTGGTCAGTGGCCACTTTGGTGCCGGCGACAGAGACACTTCCCGTATTCCGCCTCGGAAGGCATTTGATAGTATGTTTGATTGGTTCTCGTGGGATGCCTATTACGCAGGGGTGGAGGAGTGAATACGCTTGACATAAAAAGGTAGTATGGAATGTGCGAAGGTTGATTTGTTGATATAGACTAGATCCTAGCATCATATGCTATGCTCATTCTTGACGGTTGGTCTAGCAAGTATGAGCTCCGGACGACACTGATACGCTATAGTTAGCCTCTCTAGGTCTGTATTGAATGTAGCCATAGTAATATCCCAACTTAGAATTTTCTGG